GAAGTTATATCATACCCCATTATTGGCAAAACACTCACAATAAAGTTTGAGGCATTTACTTTTTTTACAGTTGCACTAAAAATCAGAAACTTTTTGATATGAAACTAATTAAAAGACTTTAAGTTGAAGTTCTTTAGAGACAGTATTCTGACATTGAAGACCATCATACATAGGAGGATAGAAACAATAAGGTGGCATCATTTATTATGGAGGTCTAGGTTGATACCATTGTTGAACCATAAACTGTTGTCCAGGAGGGTATTTCATCATCATAGGTTATGGTGGATATTTCATAGGATAAAAACCATAAGGATAGGGATTTCGGTGTGGATCATCCTCCATATGATCAAAATGAGGAATTTCATCTAATGAATATTTTAGAAATGCTTAAGTACTTTGACCCTTTTTGTCGCTATTGAGATATTTCTATGGATCATAGTCATTAAAGCCTGATTAAATTCCTGTAATACCTTTGTTTTCTAGATCGAAATTAGGAGGAATATGAGGAAGTAATTATGAATATTGCATAGGAGTAAATCGTGGTGATGGATTCATAGGCCAATCCTCTGGATATTCTTGAATTTTCTTATTATTCTCTTATTTTCTTTGGGGCTCATTTGAATTCTCCCTTCAAATTAATTAATTCAATGTCCAATACCTATTATGTTCCTCCGAATATGCACTCATAAATTAATTTATTTAATCACTCAAGATATTCAAATTAATGATTAATTAAAACTGCTAGTTCAGCTCATATAAAAATAATAAATATGGTATTGATATAATCATAGAAAAAGTGAAATGAGATGATATTTAGATTGTAGTGATAAATTACAATATATAAAAATGAATTTAATTATAGAATATATTTATATTAAACTGCCAATAGAAAATCATTTGATCCTTGTAACAAATAATTGAATCATTGATTTAAATTACAACTAAAATTACTGCTATTAAATTACAAATTCCAATTTTATCCAATATAATCATCTAATAGAATAAATCAATCATTAATAATCTAAATTATTATCGAGTTTAATTATTTTGAATGTACTTTTCAAATTTAATTCAAATAATAACAATATTATTACCATATTTAATAATAACTATTTTAAGTATAAAATTTTTTAATATTTCAAATCGAATTTTTGTAAAAAATTTTAAATTTCCTATTTTGAATTTATTTTATAATTAAATTAGAAACTTAAATACTAATTATTATTTAAATGAATTTAAATACTAAAACTTAAATCTATACTTATTTTAGACAATAGAATATAATAAAAACTAGAATTTATAAGAATTACTAAAAACTAAATTAGTTTAAATTTAATCTTTAATAATTTATTCAAAATATAATGATATAAATTTATATTGAATAAATTAATCATATTATTTAAAGAAATGATTTACATAAATAAAAAAATTTAAGTTAAATTGATATAATATAAATCAATAAGATTATCAATTAATATAATTTATTATATTAACAAATCTTGATAATTTTAATTCATGAGGTAATCAGATAATAAATATTATATTAATATAAATATCTAAAAATAAATAAACCATGATGATCACATATTTTTAGAAACTATTAATAAGTTGAACATATTGAATTAATAATTTGATATCACCAATCATCTTTCTGTATAAGATTTCCTTCATTTTCATCCTTTAATTCTAGAATTCTCACAACAGGTACGACGAAAGATTCGATTACAGGTAATATTTCTTAAAATGAATAATATATAAATCTTACATTCTTCCGTTAAAGTATTATAATTATCAGGTAAGTTAGTTTATCTCCATTTTTAATATTATATGATTTAATCATCATATTCAAAACATGCTTTACACAAATATTTTAATTATGCTTCTGATAATATAATTTTTTATTTTGGTAACTACCCTTTATTCATAACCTATTTTTCTTAGTTCTATTCTGTTGTTTGTAAAGGCAAAACTGTATCATCACATTAATTATCAGGTATAATCTTAAATGAATGTTAAACAATGCTATCATCTTTTTCTCTATTTTAAATTCTCCACTATAATTTCTTCAATTTATATTTTAATTCCTCAACCCTTGTATTATTTTCTAAATTAAAATAACTTATTTTTTATTTGGATAAATGTTTGCCTTCTTCTATTTACTACATTAATCTAATGTATTTTAAGTAAATATATTCTGACTATATTATTAGTTTATGATATATACTATAATCTATTTAGAAGAATTTCTTTGGTCAAAATAACTGTGTTATTTCTTTGGTTTCAATTATTCTTAATATTTTTCAATTAGATCTCTAAAATTATTTATATATTATACTCTTCATTAAATTCTCGATCTTTTATTGGTTTATGTAAATGAAAAATACGATAAATCAGAAAACAATGAAATATTACTCTTACATTATAAGACCAATGAATAAAAAATTTAATTGCTAAATTTTCAAAGATCATATCAGTTAATTCTTTCTTAAGATCCACTATATTTTAAATATTGAAAATTTACCTGGAAATAATAAATAATTAGTATAAATCAATTCTAAACATTTTGCTATGCTTTAGGCATGTTCACTTTAAGATAAAATAATTCTAATTCCTTTTAAAAAGTATTTTTGATCTAAGAAGGATGGCATACATAAATTAAATTAAGATATTTTTTAAAAGCATTTATTTAATAGATCTAAACAATGAACTACATTATCAGAATTATATAAATTAACTTTATTAAATAAAATAACAATTATTGTATTTAATAAATTTGTATTTCTAAGTAAAGAACATAAAGCAATTTTTAAAGCTTCTGGATAATTGCTTATTTCTCTAGATTTTAATTCTAAAAAAAATGCCTTAACAAGCTAAAAGTATCCTGGTAATTAATGATATGGAACATTTTTACTATTAACTATATAAGTATTTAACAAATCACACCATTCTTTGAGAAATAAAAAGAAAGCAATTCCTCTTTTACCTAATCTTTTTTACCACATTGTTTAATTAATAGTTTCATTCATTTTATGATTATTAGCATAATATTTTGGATCTTTCATTAAATATTCATAAAAATGCTTATTCCAATCAAAAATATCATTGAATTCTAAATTTGAAATTCCACCACTTGATTTAGTTAGTGATCTCCATTCTGGAATTTATTCATCATCAGCTCTTTAAACACTAGTTATTATTTTATTTCTAAATTCTGGTACTCTGAAATAAGCATTAGCAAAGAAATTTTCAACAAAAGATCTTTCATTTTATGCTAATGATTTTTACTTCAATTTCTCTAAAGTTGTTGATAATCCTTTTTATAAAAAGATCTAATAACTTAAACCTATATCCATTTTAAATTTTAATAACTTTTCATTTGTTTTTTATGTTTAATCAGAAAATCCTAATTAAGATAAACTAAGTTCTCCTCTATTCATTAATAATTTTAATATAGTATAATATTATTCTCTTAATTATTCTTATTATTAATCTGCTGTTTCTAATAATCTAATTGCTAAATCTATTAATAATTTTTAAGAATTAAATAAATCTTATTGAGTTTTATATTCAAAACAAACCATAGATTATTTATGACTTAATTTTAAATTTTCAATAATCTGATTAATGAAATCATTTTATTATGTAATTAATTATTAATCAGGTTCAGACTATTATAAAATTAAATATTTAATATTACTTTGCTTAATATAATATATTGAGTATCTAATAAACCTTATCCGGCTGAACTTAATTATTAAATCTCCCTTATACTTGCTTTAGTTTAATTGATTACTCTGGTTCCTTAGGATACACCTTTGTCAGTACGAACTCCAACAATTTGTTATTTCAAATGAAATGGTAAAATGATTTCTAAATGATAATTAAGCATTCCTTCTTAAACTCCATGATTCCAAACTCTTCTATTATTTTATTTCCAATCTATTCTATAATATTTTATTCCTTTATCAGTAATCTATATATTGTATATATCAATAATAAATACGCATTCAGCTTTTTAAGTTAAAGCATAATTTAAATTTACATAAGCCTCGCATTCTATTTCTTTTTTACCATCTTTACTAATATGCCACAAAGAAATTTAAATTGAAGAGGAAGTAATTTCGATTAAAGGTACTTCCACTTCCATTTCTACTTTTGAATCATTCCATATTATTTATTTATTAGATTATAGTTATTGTGTTTTTTGGAATATATGATTTTAAAATACTGGTGAATATTCGGAATGAAATTGTAATTAAGATGTCAACATTCTTAATTAAAAACAATATTCATTTTAATTTAAAGGTTCCTTTAAGGTAAAATCAATAAGTTTAGGAATAAATCTTACAATAAGAATTTAAGCCATTTTGAAATCTAAACTTACTTTACCATGCTTTCTTGATCCTACTTAAGAAAATTCATAATCAATATGAAATGGACCTGTAGCTATTTAATATAAATTAAGTTTAAATGTGGAAATCTATTCTCCCTTTTCATTTTGTAATTCCACTACAACAAATTATTATTTTAATTACTCCTCTGTTGTTTTTAATTAAAATTTATGAATATGTTTAAACTAAATAATTATCATTAAATTACATAAAATTATCCTTAGCTTTCCTACTCAACTTCAGTTTCAAATGAAGAAAAGGTTGATATTGCCATTTTTACTTTGCAACTTTGCTTATTATCATTACTAAAATTAATACCATATCATCCATTTTCACTTTAATGTTCTCAATAATTACATCAAATCCAAGTTAACCTCTAGTTAACAGAGGAACACTATCAATATCTGTTAATAAATTTTCTCTCGATCTACTAGAACAGATACCCATCCAAAACAAAATTTATTTATTAGTTATTTAAAATAAAAAATTGATTGGAATTTGATAAATTAACAATTAATATAATTGATTTTTAAAATATCTTATGAACTGCTGGACTTACATCAATCAAACAGTACTCAATCATATTATTCTGTTAATTTATTATATATATCAATAAATAAAGCTATCAAACATACATGAAAACTATATTATATATAATAACAGAAACAAAAAAATTTATTATTACGTATATTAAGTTGTACCTGATCCTAGCAACCAAAGAAATGAACTAAACTAATCATAATAGATAAGATAATGGTCTCTATTTGAAAAATCAAACACAATTATGGTGCTACAAATTTACTAATTCAAGGTTAAAAGTAAGAAGATCAAAACACTTGATAAAATTTGAATAGAATTTAAGTTCCTTATAAATTAAAAATGTTTACAGCAAAGATATACCTTAATTATCTAGCTAAATTTTTAATGTAATATTTTTTTTATTTAAATCCATTTAATAAAATAAAAATTCCACACCTTATTATGAATTTATTTTAAAGGTTGTTCATTTGCATTTGCTAATTGAGCAATTTGATAACAACAAGTATTATTAGAATCTTAATCCATTTCATCTGAATGAATACTATTTTCAGATTACCATTTATCTTCTATCATATAAGGTATAAATGTATTATTCATTTATTTTGAAATTATTGTTGTATTACCATTTTGAATAACAGATGCTGTTAAATACATTTGAGGATATTCTTAATAATGAAATTGATTTTGTGAATTTTTGGGTATTATTTTTAAAAAAATCCATATATAGAATTAACTTATAATTTTTTTATTTGTCTGTTTAATTAGGATGATTTCAAATACAAAAGATACTTATCTAGATTAATAAATTACATTATTCAAATTTTTACAGATAGTTTAATTATTAGTGATCCAAAAATAAATGTATGTAAATTTTACTACTACTACTGCTTCTCAAGAATGAACAATATGTTGTATAATAATTTTAGCTTTGATAATCGTCAAATATATGATTTTTAGTTTATGAAATAATTTATTTTGATTATGAAATATTCTAAAACTATTCTTAATTTTTATTCTTTTTTATAATCCAATTTCCTGATTTTAATGTGTCTAGAATTTCAAATAACTGTTTAGGTAATTTTAGTGATAGCTGTTATAATTATTGTAAAGACTAGGAAGATAAATATATTAAAAAGGAATGAGGCATTTTTTAAATATAAATTCTTCTATTTCTTCTCATATATTTCTAAAATCATTCTTGCATATATTAATTGTTTGGCTAACTTTTATCGTTCAAATTACAACCATGAATACAAAATTTGGCTATATTGTCAAATTTAATAAACTGATTAGTTTTAGAATAATTATAATTAATCTTTTTAGTCAAATTAATATATTTTGAGAAAAATTAAAATATTAGGTCTTGTGTTGTTGAGCTAATAAAAATACAAAGTTTGATATAATCAACTAAAAATAACTGATAGTATTCACTCTGTAATCAATGGATATAGACTTAATTAAGAATTCCGTTTAAACAAATATGATTATCTAAAGTAATAATTAAAAAATATAAATTTAATTGAACAGGCATAAATAAATCAAAAAAAAAGAAAGCATGTTAGGTTGAAAATGGATAATAATTGAATAGTTTAAGTAGTTATTAAAAAATCACAATTTTGCCAAATATTGCGTGAATTCTTTTTCAAACCATATGTATGTTTTGTTATATATAATATCTTATATTTAATGCAATTTTTACAACTTTTCATTGTAACAGTTGTCTGCAAAGAGATTTCAAATAAGAAATAATAATTCTTAGATGATAATGATAATGATGATGCAGGAAGTATAACTTCAATAATATTTCATTCAATTATTGGCTCAATTTTCTTAATTTTTTCAGCAGCTTTAATATGGTACAATGAAAGAAGAGAAGCAATAACGTCATATAGATTAGTGAGTATGAGATAAATATGTAAAATTGGAGATTGTCATGAGATCAATTAAGAATTGAATGGTGAACTAGTTCATATGCAAGGTAATAAATTAAATATTTGGTTAGGATAAACAACTACAGATATAATTCTTGAAGATACTGAATTTGGAATATCTTTACCTTTTTGTATTAAATTAAATCGTCATGTTGAATAATTACAATTTGTAAGAATTGAACATAAACATAAATTCTCATCAACTACATTTACATATGAATAAAGATGGTAAAGAGAATAAGTTTGCAGTGCTCGTTTTCCTTCTGAATATTAGAATAAACCAGAATTGTGGTTAGTCAAAAATAATGGGCAAATAAATCCAGATGTAAGACTAGGGGTATTTACTCTATCTGAATCATTAAAATAAAATTGCCTTAATTTTTAATATTTTCTTCCTGGAGATGTTTAGATAAAGGCTGCATAAGAATTATATGGAAAAGAATTTCCTTTTATGTATTTATTTTGAATTATTAAGAACAATTAAGAATTGTGATATCTAATTATCATAAATTGAGAATTAAAAAACAATAGGTGATCTTAGAGTTTCTTTTTCATATGTTAAATGTGGCAATACAACAATAATTTCAAAATAAATGAATAATACATTTATACCTTATATGATAGAAGATAAATGGTAATCTGAAAATAGTATTCATTCAGATGAAATGGATTAAGATTCTGATAATAATTGTTGTTATCAAATTGCTCAATTAGCAAAAGCAAATGAACAACCTTTAAAATAAATTAATTGGATAAATGAAAATATTTAGTCCTTCAATGATATATTTAAAGAACAATTAATAAGAAATTCTGATTTAACTTATAAAACTAGATTAAAAGCATTCTCATTAATGGTATTTAAATGTTATCATTAGGTGTTTGGAGTAGCAATTTTTTTGTAAGGAACATTTGATTTTGGATTGCCTTCAGATATTTAATTTTTTTTCTTTGTAGGTCTTGGCATGATCTTTTCTATTCCAATATCCTTGATCATAGCTTTGGTGGCTTGGATGAGATATCACTTATTCTACACCTTAACTAATTTTATTGGATTAGCTATTGTATTTTCTATAGTTACAATAATTACTGGAGGGATATATTATTGATAAGAATATAAAAAATAATAAATTAATAATGATTATCGTTTTATTTAGCTAATATGTATGTTTAATAAATAGATTATTATTTAATAATAGATCTGATTTTTAGAATTTAGTCTGAAAATGTTAATAGATTAATAATAATATAAGTATAGATCAAGCTGGAATAATGATAGGATTGACATCAACCATATGTTAATCATATTTAATTTGATCATATTATAATTTTTCTACTATCAATCTAAAGTTGAAGAGACTCTTAGTTCTTTCACATTTTCTATCAGTTGAATTTTTATCAAGGTTTTTGAGTTGTTCTTTGGTAGTTTTTCCAGTTATAATGAGAAAGATATGAAATATAAGTAAACCAAAGACTAATATTATGCATATTCCAAAGGGAATCATCAAAATAATGATCAAAATTTGTTGAACTTTTTGATCACTTGTTGCAATGAGGATAATGAAACATAATAATTCAATTCCAAATGAAATTGCAGCCATAGTAAGGGTTGATATAAAGGATATGAAGTATGCATAATTACGTTTGCCAATACAATTATTTACATAGGGACAATGATGATCAAATACATCTACACAATTATCACATTCTGCACAATGATTAGAACGAGGAGGCTTTTTAATCATACAAGTGATACAGATTCTAATATTATAATTATTATTATCAGCTTCTGATGGTATTAAATGGAAAAGATTCTCATCTTTCATTTTTTCAATGATTTCTTTTCTTGGTATAATACCCTAAGTTTATATATAGTGTATATGTTACTGGATCAGTGAACTAAGTTAAAAATAGGAATAGCACACAACTGAAATACATGATATACGAGATGATTGGAAGAGAGGGATGTAAAACTATCCAAATCTATGGTGAGATGTAGAAAATAAATGGAGCACCAATTAGTAGTATTAATATCCATGTCATTAAATTAGATGCATTGTCTGCACTTGGTCCTGTCATTAAACGACCTCGACAAAAGAATCTATTATTTGATGGCCATAGTTGGTATAAGTGTACTAGTTATTATTTGTTTTAATTCATTAAGGAAATTAAGTATTTTTAAATTGCAAATTAAGATTATATCAATGCATTTTCTATTTTGGAGAAAAAGGTCTATTATATTACTATAGTTTTCTATCTGAATTTTTGACAGATAAAGGCTCACGTATCTCATGTGGACCTGATTTAATAGAAGCTTATTTCATGAGAGGTTTCTCTTCAATTATTCCATTTAATATAGAAGTTTTGATCTAAATGGAATGGGGAGGCATAATCTAGTTGAAATGAGGAAAGAATCTATTGAATTTATAAAAACTCAACATCTTTATTTACAATGATTGACACTAAATTTTTATGTTTATTTTTACTTCTTTATATAACTCTAATAGTTATTATTTATTATCTATCAAATTTGGGTTCTTTTCTATTAGATACTTAACGTCTTTAAGTATGAAAATATAAATATCCTGAATGTCAAAATATAAGAACTTAACTAAATGTGCTATTATAGGATTAGGTTCCTGATCTTAATTTATTCTTTCTATCAATTATTACATACTCATTCCTATATAACATTAATTAGATAAAGTAAAATAGATCATTAGATCCTCTTAAGGTTTATTGAATTCTTCATTTATTAAAGTAGTTTAAGCAGCCAATTTATATATATAACAATAATAAGATTGACATAATTATCCATATATTATCTCTATATCATCTTTACTCTTAATATTTATTATTAGACGAGTGTTGATAATCATTTTTGAGAATTCAGCTCTTGCCACTTAAGAACTTATGATAATATGCACTAACAAGAGCATTTTTAATTTTATGTAGAAATTATACTCTTATAATAAATACTCTCCTACTACTACTAATAATTATTTTAAAAACTAAGACTAAATGCTTATCTATTAATATTACTTTTGATTGATCATTTGCAAAAAAGTGTTTTAATCTCTTGCTTATTTCTGCTTATTAAGTAAATTAAGTATCGTTGCTGTTTAATTTTAAGTCCTTTAGAGCAGCCAAAATTGGATTATTTGTTTATCCTACAGAATTATCATTTATCAATTGTTTTAATTTTGTAATCATATGATTATTTATATTTTCTGTTAAACAACATTTATATAATCAATAGACAAACTGTTTATCATTTATTTATGATTTACACTATTAACTATATACATATAATAATGATATTAAGGATAATATCATTCATATATCAACACTTAATTCAAATTATTTTATAAAAATCCTATAATGGATTTATAAATCTGCATAAAAGTACTTTATAATATAGATATGATGTTCAATGAATTTGATTGTTAAATCTAATTAATTCATTTAACTTATTATTATCCATTTGAATTTGATGACTTAACCAAATTTGATTTAATAATATTATTTGTAATTCCAATGTTTATTAATCTAATTTTTACATACTTCTCCTATCCTAATTTATTGCTATAAATATAAGCAAACTACTATAATTTCTTAGTCTTAATTGTAACTTTTTCAGTATGAATATTTATTTGATTTTAAAATTTTTTTATAATATGAGTTGTATTTATTGGAGTCTGCCTCTAATATTATTCTTAAAATAAATATTAAGAGTTAATGGTATTAATTAAAATTCATATTTGCTTTTAAGGTCTTTTTATTTTTATTTTTGATATCTAATATAATGCTTAGAATATATGGATACATTTATGAAAAGTAAAATTTATAATCTCAAAAATGATATAATTATGTTGGATAATATTAATCATCAAATTATCTTATTTAATAGTTTTTCATAAAAGAAAATAGATTATATCAAAAATTTTAAATATTAGCATCAAATTTTATGATACTATTTGATAAGAGATTTATAATATTTTATGAAGAATATTAATAATAATATTAAAGATAAATTTATATAATTTGATAACTGAAATTTATTGAGGTTATAATATTATTCAGATATAGACTATTCAATATGTTTAATTAGATATTATTTTATCTAAAAATAATAGAAAATATGAAGAATTTTAGAGTACTTAATTAATATAAATAAGATTTAAATATTAAATGAAAAATGAAATATATAACTAATAATTATTTTTCACATTTATCCAAAATTATGAGTAATATTAAATTAGTCATTTTCTTAGTATCCTAATTCTTGAATATAAAATTATTGACTCTAATATTACTCTTATAGTTGATTATTATCATTAATAAGATCGTGTAGTTTTTTTGTTAATATATTAATTTGTTCTTGAAACTAATCCATATTGACTTAGAATTACATGGCCTAATCAATCTTCTTGTTTTGTAATTACTTGTATAATATTCAATCCAATACGTCTAACTGTTATTCCATAATATTGCTTTTTCTTATTGCTTGCTAAAGTGTTTATTGCATATTATCTCTTTATTAGATTAGTTCCTAAATTTAATTTTATAGTTCTTTAAAAGATGAACTATGACAAAATGAATTGCCAGGGATCCTTGTAAGATTCTCTTTGTTTTAATTAATAATATGTTTCTTATGATCATTAACTTATCCAAATGGTTATTTTTCATCAATTCTTTATGCCATATTTAATTACTATCTATTTGGTGTTGAATCTATATAAACTTATCTAATATTGGTTGGAGTGATAGCTGAACGAGTTCTGGGTATTTAAGGTTAAATAAACATATTTTTTTTTTAATAATATAACAGTCACTAAATTAAATATATTATCATTCTTATTCATCTTTTATTTCTATCAATCTATTTTATTATCTTTCCTATAATGATTAATTGTAATTTTCTCTACTATTTTTGAATTTATAAGTTGAACTCAAATCTTAGTAGGTAGATTTAGTATTCCTAGATAAATAATCAGCAGTAGAAGGCATTTCAATTGAATATTTTATAGGAGTAACTGATTTACAATTATTCAATCTTAAATTTACATACTTTTAAATTGTGTTTTGTTTTGTAATGGGTGTTTGTGAAGGTATTTCTTTCATTTTAAAGTTTTTTACAGATTTAACTTATTTGAATAATTGAGTTGAGTTTAAAAATTGATTAAGATTTTGTTCTTTCCTTTAAAATTATTTAGATTTCACTCTTGACATACTTGTTTTCTCTTTTGATGTAACTTCTTTCATAGCTAATCTTTCCTAATTTTCAACTATTTATATTATAAATATATATATTTATACCCATTATAAAATAACAATCTAAACAAACTGTGATTGTTTTATACTTAAATCCTTAAGATTATTTGAATTCTTGATAGTTTTAAATGTTTATTTATTCATGTATTTTCTAGAAAGTCATTGGTATTTAGGATATAGTATTGACATAAGCAAGCTTTTCTTGATTAGCACCACTTAGTTTTACTTACTTGGCTGATTTCTTAATATCGAGAGGCCATTTTTCAACAGGAAGTGGATTTTCAGGTAAATCAATTAAAAAATGATAAGGAACTTCTACAAAGTTTGATCCCTTCTCCAATTAACCACATCTAATACATTTATGTTCTCTATTCAATTATAGAGGTCTTGAATTGTATACAGACATTAAATTATCAATTGATTTAGGTATCTTAATAAATAAAATGATATAATACTTTTATTTAAGATTAAGTATAGAGATCTTTAGGTAGATTTTTAAGATGTTTATCATCTTCAAATTTGAGATTACCACAAAAAAGGAACCAACATCTAGCTTTTTTATCTACTTTGAAATAGAAAGTGCCTTATGAAATATTCAATTTGCCATAAGAAATAGCATCAAGATGAGAGATCATTTTATCGATTTGTTCAGAGATTCTCTAAGATTAGAAATCTTTAACTTAAGCTTGAATAAACTATGAAGAAGATGATGATACTTGCTTCACTGAAATATTCAGGTCCTTCAAAAGTACAATGTCGTTCATAAATATTCATTGATTTATTGGTGAATGATTTCTTGCAAACTCTTTTAGTGAATAGAGTAACTGATTTACTCCAGAATGCTTAAATTTGTGCTATGTAATAATAACTTGTTAATTTACAATTGCGATCATCTGCTGGTTCAATAAATTGTTAAAGAATACCAAATGGTAATTCAAAATGTCCATCCATAAATTTATTGAATCCTTCAATATCAAAGTATATCACTTGGATTTAGCCACTAATTTGAAACTTTTCTGGAGGGTAATTAAGATCTAAATTATCACTTGCAAATTAGTAGGGAACAACGCATACATAAAATGTAAAAGGTATGCAACAACACCACCTCTGCCAACTTATTGATTCCAAGTTTATTTTATATTTTGTTTAGTAACATTCTTTCTCATTTTCTTTTTTATTTCTCCAGTTTCTTTATCTGTGTAATACCAATAAATGGGCATAGAACGAATAAGAATGACAGTATCAGGAATAAGAATTGCAGGAGGATTGGCTGTCTCTGATTTAACCCATAGGTATTAATAGATTTTGTCATACAAAATATGCTCTTACATACTTTCACTGCTAAACATTTTAAATAATTTTAATATACATTATAATATTAACTAATTATTATAATCATTACTAATAATCATTTATAATGGATAATAATAATGAGGAATTTTATTATTAAATATCAATATATCAACTAAAATTTTAGCCATCTTACATCAATAATATTTTTATGATTCATTCACATAGTAGAAGTCGTAGTCGAAGTAGAGAAAAGTAATTAAGACCCTAAGAGACCTGTTAACATAATCTATAACAAATCAAAAAGGTTTTTATGGATGTAAAATTATATTATTATATTTACTCTAGGGTAGACCTAATACTAATCCAGAAGATGTTAAAAGATATCGTCAAACTAATCGTATATTCATTAAATCTGCTCATTCCTTTATTCCAGATCCCATACTTAAATTTGAAGACGTATATTGTTTCCCCAGACCATTATAAGAATTAATTGTAAAGGCAGGATTTCCAGCTCCAACTCCTATATAATCATAAAGTTGGTCTATTGGATTGACTGGTCATGATCTAATAGGAATTGCATAAACAGGATCAGGTAAAACATTGGCATTTCTATTGCCAGCCATAATTCACATTTTGGCATAATTGAAATAAAATTCAGATCCATAATGTTTGATAATGGCTCCAACAAGAGAACTTACTCATCAAATTTATGAATAATTCACTAAATTCTCAGTTGGTTCTGGATTAAAAGCTGCATGTTTATTTGGAGGTTAAGAAAAATTTATATAAAAAAATTAATTGAATTAACATCCTCATATATTAATAGCATGTCCAGGTAGATTGATTGATTTAGTTGAATCAGGAAGTACAACATTAAAAGGTGTTACCTTTTTAGTATTAGATGAGGCAGATAGAATGTTAGATATGGGATTTGAACCATCAATAAGAAAAATAGTTGCTTAAACTAGAGCTGAAAGATAAACAATGCTATTTTCAGCCACTTGGCCTAAAGAAGTCTAATCATTAGCTTTAGATTTCTGTACACAATAACCAATACATATATAGATTGGAAGTCTAGATCTGACTAGCAATAGATAAATATAATAAAAAGTAGTCATCTTAACAAAAGAATAAAAAGAAGATAAACTAAAAGAAATATTAAAATCTTTGGGTACTAGAAAGATCATCATTTTCTGTTAGACAAAGATTAAATGTGATTAATTACAACTTTATTTGATTTAAGATGGATTAAGATGTAAATCATTGCATGGAGATAAGAGACAATCAGAAAGAGATTTTGTAATGAATAGTTTCAAAAGAGGAGATACTACAGTATTGGTGGCAACAGATGTAGCATCTAGAGGATTGGATATTAAGGATATTGAATTTGTAATTAATTTTGATATGCCAAAATTGATTGAAGATTATGTACATAGAATTGGCAGAACAGGTATTAATATTTAATTAATTATATTATTATAGGTAGAGCAGGAGCATAAGGTGTATCTATTTCATTATTTGATTCCTTTGAAGATGTCAAATTAGCAGGTGATTTAGTTGGAGTACTTAGAGAATCATAAAATGAAGTACCAGGTGAGTTATCTCGTTTAGCTAATGTTAATAATTAAGGTTATACAAATTATCGTAAGTGGAATGCCCCTTCTGGTAAAATCCAGTATTGCAGTTGATCTATTTATGTATATTTTTAAGATAAATTGCTTTCTTTATTTTTTGGATCAATAAATTTTGATATTTAATATTAGAAATTATAAATATATAAATATATGAATAGATTTAAATCTAAATATAAATTACCCCCTAAGTTGAAAACCCAACCGATTGATCCTCGTGTATCATATTATGAAATCAAATTATAAGAATTAAGTTCTGAACCTTCACAAAAATACAAAATGCAATAAACCATATCACTCACACATGAAGGTTTTGTTCGTCAAAGGAAAACGATCAGTGATTATAATAAACTCCCAACTCCTCTTCCTAAAATCTAACCTACTCGAAAATATAATGAGGAATATAGAAATATATTTAGTTAAAGGAATCTAACGAGACTAGTTGGTGGACTACAATAATTGTTGTGATTGTTTATTAAAAATTAAAGAGAAGAATATTGTATCTCTTTCCAGGCCAAAGTATTTTAATAATTGGCATTCATGCATCTCTTGATTCTCATCAATATCTAAATCTAGTTTAACAAGTATTACACTTATAAAAATGTATTGAAGTTGGATCACAAACAAAATTCAATTAAATTGATTTTCATTTAGTCAACCATCTTCATAAGTACTTACATTCAATGTAAAATATATCTTTTGATACAGAAATTCAATTTTCTATTGACTATTCAATTATAAGAAATATTTTGCATTTTGTAAATGTTAATCGTCTGGATTCTCAAAAAGTAGCTTAATTGCTTTATTATGAGAATGTACAAGGAGGGATAGAAGTGAAGCAAGATAAATGTATATTTTGATAATGGCAAGTAACTAAAAGGTCACACAACTTATATAGAAAGTTCTATTTAAGAGTTAAACTTGTTTTATATAATTCATTTAAGTAATTTGATTTAAACAATCTTTGAAAATTGATGCATATAGAATAACAATAATAGAATTTTTTTCATTCTTTATTTTATAAGTATCAGTTGCTTTTCTTGTTATCATAAGAAATTCACATAGGAAACTATAAAAATATGTATGAGTTAATAGGAAAATTAAGAGTATATTATTTATAGATATTAGAGTGTAAGAAAATAAAAAGTGTTTAATAAAACCTAATAGTAATGTAGTTATAGAGTTTTAATTGTTCTTGCTAACAAATTATTATCTAAATATATATTAAAATACAGGATCTAAAATTGCAATGAAATGAATATTATAGTATTATTTAACCATACTGTTAAGTTGAGTAATGTTAATTAATTTAAATATTATAATTATATATATACAATAATTCTTTTTTTGTCAAAGCAAGTCCTATTAGTGTAAAGGTAACACATGAGATTCCGGCTCTCGAGTTCGAGGTTCAATTCCTCGGTGGGACGATTTTTTTCTATAAATTTTGGAGTAAAGGAGATGATTTATTCATATTTTAAATTTAATCATAATTCTCTTTATGATTATCCTTAATTTATTATTTTGTACCAAAATCTATTAAATTCCTTAATTATTTTCTAATTATCTAATTATTCTCTAGTATATGAATGTATGTCTTCTTAAAAATGTTTTCAGGATTTTCTCTATTTAAAATGCTTTCATATTATATTTTACAATTATCTACCTTTTGTAATTTCTGAGATATTCTAACATAATTAATTAAATAATATATTATATGTAGTCATATTCATATAATGATTTACTGCTGGATTTACTAATAAATCTTTAAATATAAAGAAAATTCAAAAATAATATTGAATTTTATATAATTATGAGAATCATCCATAAATTATAATGAATTTGAAACAAAAATAATTAGAAAATCTAACAAAATTAAATATTCTGTCTTTAAAAATTATAATATACTGATCAGTATCTGGCTAACAGATAACTATAAAAATTATAAATTATATTTTTGATCATTACAAAAAATGGCTGATTTTCTTTTTTGATAGAAAATATTAATACATATCAATTTAAAATTCTTATATAGTTCATCTTATGTTATATTGTTAATAATAGTTAAATATTATAATATTCAAATTAACTGATCTAATAATTTACACATTTCCATTCTCTTAAACAATATCAATAAATTTCATTATTAAAATCCTTTAATAATTTTTGATTATTATATTCAGTAAATATCTCCAATAAATCAAATATATATATAATAAAGTAATTAATTATATAAGAGGACTACTTATTATTTCTATATAATAAATGAAATAATCAAAACTTTTCAAATGTGATTAGATTAAAATAAAAAATTAATAAATAGATTGAAACTAATCATTATTAACTAAATTCAAGCAAAATATAATTGAGTTGTTGTAAAACATTAGTCCATATTACCAATCCTTTTGATAGGCACTCTTTATTTATTAAGACTGCTGCAAGTATGTTTCGGAGTATATGATTAATTTGAAGGTGATCGATTACTACTGTTATGAAATCCTGTTTAATCTCTTGTTATGCGAAATGATTGTTATGTAGTTACAGTTCTTGGTCTTGAAGTACTTTCCCTTTCTACTTTGTTTGTGTATATTGATCTCAGAATTTTATTAAGTGCTTTGTTATTCATGACAGCTTAATCACATAATTCTGTTAATTAAATCATATCATTCAATTCTTCTTCTTGCTTTCTTAATTTATATAAGGTTTTGGCTAAGTTTTATGTTGAAGATGCATATATGGGTTTCAATTTATTTGATTTCATTATATGATAATTATAATGTATAAATGATTTAATCAATTATTTCAATTAATTAAAATAAATTAGTTAAGAACATTTATTTGTTGTTAAAAACATTCAAAATTAAGTCAGAAAAAATATAAAATATATCAAATCCAAAAAGTTATTAATTTATTAGAAATCAAAAGTCCAATTCTTATTTATTCTTTAATTATTCTACTTAGTCTGGATCTAACCATTATGTTCTTTTGCCATCAGCCCATATACCATATTTTGGTGGCTAATTAGGTAAGTAATAAGCTCCATAACCTTATTACTTACCTTCAATCCAATTTCCTATATATCTTCTTCCATCTGGCCAAAGGAATTGACCTCTTCCATGTTTTAAATCATCTTAGTAATTCTAAAATAATATTAATTTATTGATTACTCCTATAAATTAACGACCATCACTCCATTTAATCTCTCCAACTCCATTCATCTTATTCTATTTCCAATTTCCTTTATATACTCTTCCATCTGACCATTCATAAACTCCATATCCATGAATTTCATTATTGGCAAAAAACCCTGTATATTTAGATCCATCAGCAAAATATAGTGTTCCATGACCTTCTTTTCTACCTTCTTAATATTCTCCTTCATATCTAGCACCATCAGGCCATGTTTCAACTCCCTTACCTGATTATTTATCATTAAACCACTTATAAATTATATAATAATAATACTTAACCCTCATATCTAGCACCATTAACATGTTAATAAACACCTATTCCATGAGCTTTATCATCAAGCCATTCTCCTTCATAAACATCACCATCTGCATGAATTAATTTTCCTTTTCCACAACATCTACCTTCAATCCATTATCCTTCATAAATTGAACCATCTGGCCATATTTATTTTCCTTATCCATCTCGTTTTCCTTTTAACCATTCACCTTCATAGACTGCTCCTTTGTCAAGTGTTTTTGCTGCTAATTTGATACGAACATCACTCATAGTATCATCTTATTCTGCTTTTTACACTTTTTGATTAAATTCTAAGTTTTTATTTTTTTTTTTTTAAAAAACAGAATTTTTGTTTGGCTTTTCTTGAAGATCATATTTTGTAATAGGACCATCATCTTCAAAATGTTTAAGTTTTGAAGTAGGAGTAGGAGTTTATTTATCAGATTAATTATATGCTGACTCTTTCTTTTATTTGTTTTATTCATTTTCATTTTAGGACACTTTAGCATTAAGTAGAATTTAATCTTCTTTGTTTTTAAGTTTTTTTTTCTCTAATTCTTATTATTCATGTATACGATCTTATTCAAATTTATCTCGTTGTTTTTATACAGAATGATGAGAGAGTTTAACTTTGGAATCATCCATATCTGGATTACCTTCATCAACATTTATCTCACTTTTCTAATGTGTTCGTAAACCATATTCTTAGTCTTTGTTACAACAACTAGTTTAGCAAGTACCCATAAAAATATATATATATATATAATCAATTCAAAATTTTAATTGTTTACTTTTCTGAACATATATAAATTTTTCATCTTTGGAGAGATTACGCCACATGTGTTTGAGTGTTTCTAATCTCTCCTTGAAGCCATATTCAGGATGTTATTTTTTAACTTCAATTATATGATCAAGTTTGAACAATTTGAAAGCACTTTTGTTTTTTTGGTCTTTTGGAGTAAAGTGTAAAGGAGGTAGTTCTTCAGGATTGAGTCTATTTTGATAAAGAATGAATTACATTTATTAGTTCTCTGCCCATAGTTACCAATCTTTCATAGCTTTTTCACAATCTTGGAAGTGTTTGGTTTAGTTCATTAATTTATGTAATAGTTATTTTGGAAGAAAATTGAAATTGACAATAGTAAGTGATTAATTCAAATTTATTAGAGAAACATGGTCGTACACCAAAGGTAGAGGAATGTGTCAATTTAGTATATTTGATTGATCAGAATAGATATTTATACTTTGGAGGCAAGAACCCATTTAATATTAAGGATTTGTAATAGGAAGGTATACAATTAAAATTAAGTAATAGAGAAGTAACCATCTCCTCCAAAAACAGATGGAATATCATTTAAAATAGGTGCTCCTAAATAAACAAGAGTGAGTAGTCCATTTAGTAATTAAGAATGCTAAGATTATGTGTACATTTTAGATCCAGCTACATATTAATGGAGTATTAAGAAATGTACAGGGAAACCTCCAACTAGAAGAACAAGTGCATAAGTATGGTATGAAGCACCATTGTTATATGTATATGGAGGGATTACATATGAGAATAAAACTGTTAGTGATTTGTATATATTGAATACAGAGAAATTTGTTTGGAAACGATTTTTTTATTTAGAAGGTCCTCCAGGTAGATTACATTTTGGATTTTCAACATAAGGGATGAAGAAATATTTAATGGGAGGTGCAAGTATGCCAGAAAATTTATTAATGGATGATGTATGGCAATTATCTGTAAGAAATATTTACAAATAAATTAGTTTGAAAATGTGGCATGGGAAACTCAATCTTTAGAATTACCAGGAATTACTTGGGAGAAACTTCCATTTGATGATATGCCAGCTATAAAAGCACATACAATGATATAGGTATCAGATAAAGAATTACTTGTATATGGAGGATTTAATAAATAAAAATAATGTTAAGATCGTTGTCTTTTATTAGATATAGAAACATATGATATAAGTTAATTAGAATTAAAAGGATAATCACCTGGATAGAGAGCATTTCATGTATACAATTATATTAAATTAAAAGGAATTATTAGTAGTTAAAGAGAATTTACTTTGTTTATATGGAGGATATAATGTAAATGAAAATTAATTAAAGAATTCAGAACCATTAAATGATTTATATTTATTGAATTTAAATGAAGGTTATTGGTCAAAACCTTTAGCTGGTGGATATATTCCAACTCCTAGATTTGGTTATGTAATGTCATGCAATCAAAATGAAGTTCATGGAGAAATAATGTTATTGGGAGGAAGATTGAATGATGGAACAGTAGATTAATGTATTTATGTATTACATGAATTGGATATGGAGGCAAGAGAGGCTTGGGATGAAAAAGATGAATAAGAGAAGAATAAATATGATACATATAGAGAATTAAAGAAAGAAAATAAAAATGTTACTGTTCCTACAATGACTTTAGTATTTGATGAAGCTGAAAAAATAATATTAGAATAGAAAAGAATTATAGGTGAGAAAGAAAAGGATTTAAAATAATTATAATAGAATTCACATTAACTTGAATAAAAGGCTGAAAAATTATAAGAATAAATTGATATTGGAAAATTGAAAATGGATTAAGATCTTGAAAATACTAGAATTGAAATAACTGAACTTAATTAGAAAGCTGATCAAAGTCAATCAACAATAGATAAAATATTATAATTGTTAACATTTGAAAGGAAAAAAAGGAAATTAGTTTATAGAAAGGCTTTGGCTTTAGAAGATCTTTATAGAAAAACATCTTTATATATTTTTGAAATGGATAAAGTTTTTGTTAAAGGATAAAGTGAGAATCTCTTAGAGACATCTATTAATGAAGATATATTAAATCTTATTGATTAAAGAAAACAAGAATATAAAAATATTCTTATTTCATTTCATAAATCTTTTGAAGAGAGATACAAACAAGAAATGTAAGTAAGACAACAAATTAGAAGCAATAAAGATATTCTTAAATAATTCCATAATATTAATGAAATTTACAAAAAGACATTACTCAAAGAAGATAGAGAATACTTAGACAAAAAAATATGATTTATTATAATTTAATTTATATATCATTATGCCAACTAATATTTCTATTCCATTTTAAATGTAACACATATACCTGTTTTTTGAATAAATGCCAAATAATTAACCTTATTTTACTCATATACTGAACAACATTATGCTGATTATTCCAATAGTTCTTTAGGAGGTAATTCATCTTCATAATCATATAAACACACTTTTTCTTCTTATTTCTAATATAATATAATTGTCAATTTATACAAAAGTATATGAAATAACTAAGATAGAATAAGTCTTTATTGTTTGAATCAAATTAATTTTTTAACATGGTATATTTGTAAAAAATTCTAATTTTCTTTAGTTTGTAAAAGTATAAATCTTAATGTAATCTTCCAAACCTAAAAATAATTTGGATGTATTTGTCAATATTTTTTTTACTTTCTATTTCGAAACTACCAAATTTTCATTTTTTAAAGTGATCTAATCCCAAATCGTGATTGAGTTCTTTCCTCCAATAAATAGAATCTTCCAATCCATATGAAATGCTGTTGCATTTTCTTCCAATAATAAACTCTTTATAAACTCCATATTATTTAAGGACCAAATCTTGACTTTCATTTCCTCTCCAATACTATATAATTTGTCACCCTCTTCACTTATTAAAATTTAGAGCATTCCAGGTTAATCAATTATTTTAGGTTACATCTAATCTTATTTAATTTTGATATTCTTTTTTCCTTCAGCTAAGAATTTCAAGATACTCCCTTTTTTAGTTGCTAAATAAATATATCCATTTTGCTCATCCAACCTAAAATATGCTAAATCAATAAATCCAGCATCTTCTGAAATAGTTAGAATGCTTTAAACATTCTCATTCTTAGCCTACTAAGATGAAACATCAAAGATATAAAACTTTGTTCCACCTATTCCAAAAATTATATTTTCATTTATAAGTAGCATTTTAGTAATTTCTGATCCTTCAAGTTTAAAGTTAAATTACTTTTCATCATTAACTTCTAAAACTATATCATTTTCAAGTGAATTATTATTTTAAATAGATGCTTTATATACATTTCTAAATAATTACATATTTAATTTGAAACTAAAGTATGAATATTTGATTTATAATATTCTTTTTAAATATCATATTTATCTTATTTATTCTCTTCTGTTTTAATATTAAGTATTGTTTAATCTACAAATTATTCATTTTAATGAATTGGTTAAGTAATTGATTTATTTATTTACTATTTATTACTTGAAACTTAAATATTTTGATCATTTTAAATTTATCTAGATTTTTATTATTATTATTATTATTATTATTATTATTAATTATTAATTGGATTAAACGAAGGAACACTTGAATTATTACTCAATTATTCTATGAGAATATTTGGGAATAAGTTTTTGATATTCTTTTGGAAAGTATCAAATAAATTTCGATATTACTCAGTTATTGTTTAAGCAGCTTTTTAGAATTTTGAAACAATAATTTCCATATTATTAATATCCTCATTTAAAAATTTAGGAGGACCGATATTCTTGACTTTAAACGGGATCTTATCTGAATTAGGTTTAAAGGATTCAATATCTGCAAGAAGATTATTGAAATTTTCGATAGATGGTTCTAATTCAAATTATTATAAGTTTAAAAATTATTTTTATTTGGATGTATCAGATTGATTTGAATAGATTTATTTTTTTACACTAAATAAATATATTTGTTATTTAATTACTGATTAATTGATGTTTTGATTTGATTCAATTTGTCATTAAAAAATTTGTAAGAGTAATCTAATGTTTCTTCAATTTAATTAAAATGTTTATTCAAACTAACATTAAGAAATAATTCAATACTCGTTATATTATTTTTTCAAAGATTCTAAATTATAAGGATTTATTTGATCTTAATAGATTTGAGTGAATTTTCTTAATGAAATTTTTATACATTCTTAATGATTTAATTAACAATGGGAACACAATAATTTTCGATTTTTTTTGCATTAATGATTAGTACAAACCATATTTAGAAATTCAGAATCATGATCTGGTAGTTCACAGGATGAATAATTTTTTGGATTCATAATAATTAAATAATATCTTTAATTTTTTATAGAAAGTATATAATTTAATACTCTGATAGATTTATATAAATATATATCAAACTTTTGTCTCAATTCTTTTCTTCCTTTATGAATTAGCATAATAAATATTATTTTTAAATTTCTATTTAAGAAAATTTATATCGTTTGCATTATTATAATTACGAGCTGATGATACTAATTTAATTTCTGGAAGAGGACAAGCTAATTTTGGAGATATTTATTTCCTTTAAGGAGAATTACTATGTAATTATCCATTCATCTCAGTCAAACTTTGACAAGACATGTAACTTAAGAAAGGATTGCTATTTGTTAATTCTTTTTATTATAAAGTTTTCTCTGTTTTTTCATTAACATAACTCAAGATTGAAGCAAAGGGTTTTTTAGATTTTCGAGATATATTTAATACTACTTTAGGTTATTCAGATTCAATAATAGATTATCTAATCTTAGGTTTTTTAACTTCTAGAACAGGTTCATCTATAGGTTATTGGGATTATTAAAGCATTAATAATTAAATTTCACTGTTTCTTTGATTATTAATACTATTCTAATTTCCAATATTACGAAGTGTTGTTTAATGTTTAATTAAGATACTAGACATACGTTTAAATAAAGTTTTCTTTCTTTCCTTTGTTTTTAAAATCTCATTCAATAATATTTACTATTACTATACACAAGTCTTTGGATATAAACAATTAAGATGCATCTAATTACATAATTAATAAAATTCCATACTTATTTCTCTGATAATGGTTCAATACCACTCTTTCTTCTTTGTTATTTCCTAGTATGATGAATAACTTTAAGATCAAAACTTTTACATATTCTATTTTATTCATTCTCTTAAGTTCGTATTCTTAAACTTCTCAAAATTCTCATTCGATTAATTGGAGATTCACTTTTTGGAATAGAACCAAAATAAGAATGCTAACTTTTACTTGAGAGTAGATCAATAACTAAATCATTTGATATTAATACTTTTAGTTGCATAGTTTTTGGAAAGTGTTTTATTTAAAGCTCTCTTGTTTCTACATTAGATTTATTTTGAAGATTCCATTATCAAATACTTAAAATTATAAATGTTTGAATTAAGTAATCATTTAATTGCTATATGTTATTGATTTATTGAATTCAATTCCATCTAATATAATAAGTTGATAAATAATAATTGAATCTTAATAATAAATAAGAATTATATATACAATTCATTAAGGTTGTTTTAGTTGAAATCATACTCTTATAAAATGAATAATACATACTAGTTAAAATTCTATATGATAATTAACTTAAATATAAGAAAGAATAAAAAATAATGAAAATGTAAATACTTACAATTATAATATATTAAATAAGATTCTTTTTTCATAATAAATACTTATTAGTTATAAACTCATATTTTTTAAGTAAATAAGAGAAGTTATATTTATCTATTTATTGATATATTATAAAAATATTAAACTTGTATTATATATTAAATAAATATATATTTAAGTTTATTAAGATTATAATAGTTTTTGAACATTCCATAATAAGAAGAAGAATATTATTAATAACATTATTATTTATATGATGAACATTATTGAATTATTCAATCATTTAACTGGGAATTTGTCTAATTAAAAAGAATTGACAAATCCAACTCTACTTTGGAACTTCCCTTAATGATTACCAACTTATTAAAATCATTGAATTTAATTTGTTTAGTTAGAGGATGATAATAGAAGTTTTCAACCTCTTTCTAATTGGTTTTCATTTCTAATTAAGAAATCTTACAAAGTAATTTGTTGATTTCTTTATTGTTCCAATCAGAGGATATAGCATACCTTGTTCCATGTATTGATCTGGATTCTAAGAATAGATTAAATATTTAATTACCTATGCTATTTATACTCGATATTAATTTTTTAAATCTATGTTTTAAAGAAAATTCAGTTCGTTTTTTATTATTTGTAATAGGTGACAAACGAATTGATAACTCTGCCCATCTTCTTCCATGTTAAAGTAGAAGCTATAGAAAGTTTAGGTCTTCTAAATCAGTCCATTCATTTCTAAATATAATGAAATTCAAATCATACCGATTAATAGATGGATCTAACTTATTACCCCAACGTTCTCTACATTACTTAGGAGTACGAATAAACTTATTAAGACTTCGTTCATTTAGTTCTCGTGCTATTTTACTCCATTTGTTTCCTTTTTTCATTCTTTGAAATGACCTAAAATGAATATAATTGATTACAAAATGATGTCTAAAAGCAATTTATCTTCATTTTCAGACCATGGATTATTGTAAGCTGATTAATGTAAAAACTATTGACACATTTAAGACCATTCAAATGGTGTTTTATGGGTTGGCATCAGTTCATTAACATGAATCCATTATTCTTCATTCTATGACTTATCACTTTAAATTTACTAATTTTAAGTTTAAAGGAGCTCTCATATTCAAGAGAATGCATTATAAGAAGATCATCTCTTTAGTCTCTCTGTCTTCGATAGATTGTCCTTATAAATCATAGTAAATAGATTCTAAAATTTTGAGGCTTGGAACATTATTAAAAAGCAGCCTCCATTTTTTCTTATATGGTTTTAAATCAATGGCTTGAATATTCACAAAGTTTAATTTGGAATTTAGAGGATGGGATGATTCCTCTGTTGATTGTTAATAAGATTGAATATGAAGGAAGCTCATATTCCAAATATATTTTCAATAATCAAATTTATCGCTTTGGAATTGCGAGAATATAAAACCCAAAAATTTACATATCTTTCTCATTTTTTAATCGGATTTAATATAATAAATATATATTGTATTGATATCACAATTTGATCAAACATCCATTTTTAATGATCACTAAGCAAAACTCATGATCAGAACCCAAAAATTCACAAAAAGAATATTCTTGAGTCTGACACTTTCTGCTTTTATCTTAGAGTAGTTCAATTTTATATCGAATCATATCAGCTTCTAAAGTGTTCCAATATGGACAAATCTTGACATCAATAAATCTTTTAGCCTTCTAACCTTATAAACTATATAAAAATAGATACCATAATATTTTTTAAGTTATTTGAATTTGTGTTTTAAAGCAAATTCAGTTCTTCTTTTATATTTAGTAATCATAGATAATTTTATAGATATTTCAGCCCATTTACGTCCATTCTGAAGTAGCAATTATAGAAAGTTTAACTCTTCAGACTTTGACCATGGTTCTCTTTATAATATATTATAAATACAATTACCTATTTATTTGTGGATCTAATTTATTATTCCATCGTTCACGACATTATTTTGCATTTCTTTATATTTCAGATTTGCAAATGAGATTGTATTAATTAGATATTGCACTCCATTTCTTTTTACAACGACTAGGATTATCTCTAATATAAATTAGTTAAATATTACAAAATGATTTATAATAAAGCTTTATCTTCGAAACAAGACCAGGGCTATCTTGGAAGTTATGCTTTATAGAAAGATTAGAATTTAAAGCACAATTCTGATAGACTCCTGTATTTCGGCATCAGCTTTTGTACTTTCTCCCAATCGAATCGATTCTATTTATAAAATAATTGGAATTACTTTTATACATTTTGGATTAAGACTCAAAACTATAAGTTATAAGAAAAGCTCTTCATTAACACTCCAAGTATCATTTGATCCAATTTTAGAAGATTCATAAAGTTTGATAAAGTCATTAAAATCAGGTAAAGTTTTAAAATGTAGTTTGAGCTTTGAAGATAATTACTCTGGTTCTATTAGTTAGAGATTCTAGTAAAATAAAGCCCAATTATTAAGATCTGTAAATGAGCTTTGTGAAGAATTCATTTTGTTTTTTTTTTTATAAGATTAATATTGTTTATCTAAAATCTAGAATAGCAATTTAAACATAGAAATCTAATCATAATTACACTTTATATCTGATTATTCAAATTCTCTATTAATATTCTTCTTAATCTTTATTCATATAATTATCAAATCTGTTAATTTTCTCATCAGATATACATTCTAAATTATATTACAAAATTTTGATTTTCAGCGATAATAAACAAGTAAAAATTATATAGAAAATAATAATTCAAACCTCTTTTTACTAATTATTTATAATATTAATTATTAACTATAATAATCATTATTATTTTGTATTTATTATTATTATCTTTTTATATCTTTATCTTTTGAATCTTATTCATTAAACTCACATTTATTCTTATTAATAATTACATAAGCTGTACTTTAATTTACTTTACTTTTAGCATATTTTAATACAAATATTTTAATAATTATTCAATAAATATAATATTAGACCACTCTCCTTCAGAAATTGGTAAAATCTCTTTTTCTTCTCTTAATAAAACTCAAAATTCTAATTTATATTAATTATAACTTCATTATTATTTTTAGCCAGTCAATAACGTTGTCATTAAAATTAAGGATTGCTGAACAATTTAAAATAAATGAAATAGAAGCATAAGCATTAATATAAACATTTTATTTAAATATACTCATAATTCATTCATTTGTATTTTAACTTAAAAAATCAAAAGATGAAGAGTTGATATTGCTTAATGATAAACAAAGTATTTGCTCGAATATAGCTTTATTTTCTTATTTCCAGTTATTGAAGATCGACATGGAGAACTAATATTACTTTTAAATTTTTGATTAATTTTATTGAGTTGATTTTAATTCATATAATTCTTATAATTCCAATAATTCTTATAATTCTTAAAGTAATATTAAAATTAGATAAAAATCGAAAATCGAACAGTATAAGATTATTATTTTATATATATTCATAATAATTATAATCTTTGATTTTAAATATGATGTTAATACATTACTGTTTTTAATTAAATTAATATACAATATGGCTACTTGCATAGGTCCCAAACTTAAGTTTGAATTACTACAAAACAAAATAGTTTCATTTAATTACATATATGAATTGGAGTACTAAGATTAAATGTAGAAACTAATGGAAAAGAAAGTGAGTTTTGCAGATTCTTCTATAGTATTCTTGCATTACTCAGAAGAATAAATATTCCACTTCAGGGAAAGATTGAGAGCTTAGTTACAATAAGAGAAAACAGAGACTTTATTTTTAAATCCATCATTATTTGAGACAAGTTTATAAAGTAAGACGAGATCTTGTTTTAAACCAGTTGAGAATTGATTTCTATTTATTTATTCTTTATAATCACAACTTCAGTAATATTTATATATAATTAAATTGATAATAGTAATTATTATTATATAATTAATAAATAAATATAGAATCAACATTTTTTTTAATCTACTTAAATTTTCTACAAAGAAACTAAACATTAATCAATACCTTCTCTTAAAGAATTAATTCCTATTCAATTAATCATCTATTAATATAATAAAACAATTATACTAAATTATATATTGAAATATCTATCAATCTTTACAATTACTATTCTCTAATATAAGTATGTAATTATTGAATTAAAGGTTCAAATACGATCTCAACTATAACTTAAATGTAATAAAAATACTTAAGTATTCTTTATAAATTGTTAAATTTGATGAAACATATAAATGTTAAACACAACGTTATATTTTTGTTATTACTTATTTTTAAAGAATCTCATTACATTAATTATAATAAAGTCTAGACCTTTAAAATAAAATATTTATATAAAAAAATCAGGTTTTTCTTCTAAATCAATATTCATTAATTTTTTCAATTAATTGATCAAATGCTAAATTAAGAATTAATTTTAGGAAATATGATTTTAAGAATTTAAAAAAGAATCATTAAAATTCAATTTAGAAATAGTTACTTATAATTTTGGTATATGATAATCACTTAATTTATTAATAATCTTTGAATTAAGAATTATTTTTATTGTTTCTTATATTTTATTAATATCTATAGATTTAACATCAATAATCCATTTTGGATCATATAGTATAAAAATATAATTCTCGAATTTTTTAGAGATTGGATTAAAAAAATTAATTTTTTAAAGATTTTCAAATCTTATTCACTAATCTAATTTATATTAATTATAAATCTATTTGAATTAATCATCAAGAATATCTTTACCTTTATTTGTTTATTCCCATCTTTTTCATATTTATATTATTTCTTATTCTCCTTACTAAATTAATACATCTATCAAATTCAATTAAATAAATAGACCAGGAGGTTTGATGAAGAATTTTAAAAATTTTGAAATAATGGGTAAGATTTTTTAGACTTCATCATCTTTGAAAAATAGATGATATTTTCTCAATAAATATTTCTTTTTTTTATATTCCTTTTGTATTTTTAAATTATTGAAGGTTTACTGCTTTTCATTTTCACGTCCAATACTTCTATTTCTTTCTTATTGAATTATTTATTTATTCTTTTAGTGTTTACTTAATGTAATAGGAAATTAATGTTTAGATAGATTAAGTTAGTTCTATTTCTTAACCTAATATAAAGTTATGTATAGAATTTATTTAATTTGATAACTCAGAATCTTAAAAAATATCTTTTTATTTGCTGGAATTCCTTCATTTCTAATAGGAATTACAGGTTCTTTGATATTTTAACAACTAAATTTATGATAGGCTAATTTGGATTATGAAAGACATAGTTTGCTTATATTAGTAAAAAAATTAATTTAAATGGTTTATTGTTAATAAGTTGTTAATTAATTTAAATTATGAAGAGAAAACTTTAGAAATTGTCATTGTTTAAAGAAATAGATGAATTTAATCAATTGGATAGTGATGGGCATTAGAGTGATGATTCTTCTACGTCTGATGACTTTTTAAATTCTACTTTCGAAGCATATGGTAATAAATTTAATTATTAGACTTAGAGTCTCAAATATTTATAAGTAGTAATTAAACACCTATTCATTCTGAATAATTACAATTCATTTAAGGAGTATTTGATAAATCAGAAGAAAGTGAATAATCTTTTTAATTCAATATTACTAATGTATTAAATTAAACTTATTATAGATTGAAGGAGATAACAGAACTACTTTAATGATGAGAAATATTCCTTAAAATTATACAAAAGAGATGTTAATGATAGAAATTGATTCAAAATTTAAAAATAAATTTGATTATTTCAATTTACCATTTGATGGATTTGTTAATCCTGGTTATGCATTTATCAATCTCAAATCAAAGTCATATCTTAAAGACTTTTACAATTATTTTAATGGCAGAAAATGGAAAAGTAATCCATAAAATAAAGTAACCAAATTGAATTATAATATTTAGCCTTGTTATTTAAAATATGCCAAAATATAACATAAGAAATATAAATAAATAAATCCATAAATATATTTACAACAAACAAGTGTTATCAAACTTATTTAAAGTTAAAAATTATAATGCAGTTTGTGAATTATATTAATACTTTTTTCTCATTATAATTAATAATTTTATTTCATATTTATTTTTATATATTACATAATTCGAAAACTCACTTCTCTTATAACCATAAGGGATGTTTATAAACCATTGGTTTATCTGTTATTGAACTAGATGAAATATAAATTTCTAAATCTTCAGGATGAGTGACTTTATAATCAAGTAATTTAATAGCTTCCTGATGGAGTTCTCTCTTATTTAATTAAATCCCTTAATAATAATTAGCATGCAATTCATTTAGTTTCTTTTCATTCTTGAATATTTGTTCCCTCCTTAGAAATTTATCAATTTTAGGAACATCCTATTTATTTATTTCTTTATTTTACATTATTATTAATTTTATGATTAAATGGTTAATTATTTGAATTATAAAATAATAATAATATCAAATGAAAAGTTATCTTATATTAATATTTTCAAATTTAAACATTTAAGTCTTAAGTAATTATTCAATTTAATATATATAAAATAGTTTGAAAATTTGTATTTATTGTTTAATGTTTAGATAATCAATTTAACTGAAGTCTTTCTCTTAAATATTCTTTAAGAGTAACAATTTTATCCTAAATATGATCTGATATTCTTGAAATTAAATCTTAACTCTAAACTCTAGATTATGTTTCCATTTAATATATATCTTATTATTATCTACACCATTAATCTTATCCTTCCAAATTACTCTTTTATTTAAATCATTTATTACTTAGTTTCTTTCAACTTCAGCTGCATGATATTCAACCTTGCCTTCTGATTCTTCAATAATACTTTAATAATTCAATATAGCTTATTCTAAATTCTATCTTTGATCTGACCTATTATAATAATAATAAATATAATTTACAAAGTGTTTTTCTCATTTGTTAAATCTGCTAAGAATTATTACCAATTTAGACTTTATTGTTTTTCAATTGATTCATCATTTCCTTTACTTTCTACAATTTGAACTCTTAAATTGGCTAATAATTATAAGACTTTCTTTGCAGTATCTGAATCTGATTTTGATGATAATTAAGTCATCATTGTAAGAATTGGTTAGAATAATAATCCAGTTGATTAACTAATTAAATAAATATAGATATTTACTTCTACAATCTTTACAAAACTTTATTAAATCTTCCCTTCACTTAAATGAAGGATGATCCACTCGATAAATGTTCAATTAGAGCATATGCTTCATCAATTGCTGCTATAGCCTCTGTATGATCTTTGATCTTAGATTAAAATTCAGCATATTATAAATCTCTTTCGCTTTATCCTGCATTTGTTTTCTTAGTATTTTCTTCTATTTCAACTGATACTTCTGCAATTTTATTAAGAGATCTTTAAAGATTACTTGTATTTTCCTAATTTATTAATATATATGAATAACCTCAACTATTTTCTAATGAGCTTTTAATTAACTCTAATGATAAGCTAAATTAGTTGAAAAATCATGTAATAATCTATTACATGATGCCTATGTACTTTGAATATATAGATCAGCATCCTTTTATTCTTATTCTAACATAAATCTACAATCAAGATTATTTTATACCTAATATTGTTTATGTAGCTTTAAATCTCATGAACAGGTGAACCTGTTGCCAAACTAATTTGGATTGCATTTAAGAATGTTTTACCCATATGATGATCATCTATTTCTGCCAATATAATCTTTGGATCTGTGCCCATTTTACATAATGCCTAACATCTTATATAAATAATACCATGCTCAATAGAACTAATAATACAATTCTCATTTTTATATTAATATTAAAAACGAATATAAATTATAATTTTAATCTTTTGTTATTAAGTTCATGAGAAAATATACAATAAATTGATATACTCAAATATATTCATATTTAACAACTATAGATCATCTATTATATTTTTATTATTATCAATTTATAATTTACTGGTTAGCAATCTAAGTTATTATTTGTAATTTGATTATCCATTATTTATTGATATATATAGTATATTTGGATAGATTCATGTATAAATAGTAAGATTGTTTACAGATATGTATACTTTAGATATAATAGTTTTATAAAATGTTATAAATTTCTATTTAATTGGAATCATTAATATTTATACATTTAGTTAATAGAATACTAAAAGATTATCTTAAAATTTTAGATACTATTTATATTAAATTAATAAATCTATTTACAATTCTTAATTCTTATATATATTTGAATGAATTCTCTTAAATTTAATTAATCAATAACATAGAATTATAAGTATTAGATGTATAAATATATAATCTTTTCAAATTATGAATAATATTATATTAACCATTAGATGATTTGAATTTAAATGAATTATGCCTTATTTTTTTAAAATTATGTATTTTTTAATTTATTGGAATATTTACAATATTATATTAATCCGTTTTAATGAGAACAGTGATTATAATAGTTATTTTGATAGGAATAGCTCAATCTGCTTAACATTTGAGATAAAAGAAGAGCCATATATTAAATGGACAAAAATTAGCTTTAATAGAAAAACAAGTGCAATATATTGATGATGATGTTTAATTGAATAAAGAACAAGAAATTTAATAAGAAGGTTTCTAAGAAATTAATGTTCATGAATAAATGTAAGTTTAAATAGAGGAAGAGGCAGTTATTTAAATTGATGAAGAATAGACATTAAGTGCAGAATAAATGGAAGAATTAGATAGAAAAGAATAAGAAGAATATGAAAGAATGAAGAGATAAAGACTTGAAGAATAACATTTAAATGATGAAGACACCTATATGTAAAGTCAATAGAATGAAAGGAAAACAAATAATCAATATGATCTTGAAAGTGAAATGCCTGTTGATGTAGTTGAACACCAACTCACTCCAGTCATTTAAAAAGATCCAATCCCTGATCAAAAAGGAGTAGTTTCTCCATTTGCTCCTGCTGACAACAGTTTACCTTATTCATCATATGATAGTGAAAGTGGATTTGAGGTTAAGGAAAGTGATATCAGAATGTAGGGATCAATCAATCCAAATGATTTAGATCAATATTTGGAAGAGTAATATAGAAAGGAGATGGAATAGTTTGCAAATGTCCCTATTTGAAAATATAATATAATTATTAAAATAATTCAATCTGAATCATCACTATATGATAATCTCTATCTCAAATTGTAAGTTTAAACATCATTCTTTACAGAGCCATTACTCAAAAAGAATAGATTTATATAATATTCTTAAATTTTTAATTCAGATTCTTTTGATTTAGAACTAGCAAACATATTCAATTTAATATTGTTACCATANATTTGGATAGATTCATGTATAAATAGTAAGATTGTTTACAGATATGTATACTTTAGATATAATAGTTTTATAAAATGTTATAAATTTCTATTTAATTGGAATCATTAATATTTATACATTTAGTTAATAGAATACTAAAAGATTATCTTAAAATTTTAGATACTATTTATATTAAATTAATAAATCTATTTACAATTCTTAATTCTTATATATATTTGAATGAATTCTCTTAAATTTAATTAATCAATAACATAGAATTATAAGTATTAGATGTATAAATATATAATCTTTTCAAATTATGAATAATATTATATTAACCATTAGATGATTTGAATTTAAATGAATTATGCCTTATTTTTTTAAAATTATGTATTTTTTAATTTATTGGAATATTTACAATATTATATTAATCCGTTTTAATGAGAACAGTGATTATAATAGTTATTTTGATAGGAATAGCTCAATCTGCTTAACATTTGAGATAAAAGAAGAGCCATATATTAAATGGACAAAAATTAGCTTTAATAGAAAAACAAGTGCAATATATTGATGATGATGTTTAATTGAATAAAGAACAAGAAATTTAATAAGAAGGTTTCTAAGAAATTAATGTTCATGAATAAATGTAAGTTTAAATAGAGGAAGAGGCAGTTATTTAAATTGATGAAGAATAGACATTAAGTGCAGAATAAATGGAAGAATTAGATAGAAAAGAATAAGAAGAATATGAAAGAATGAAGAGATAAAGACTTGAAGAATAACATTTAAATGATGAAGACACCTATATGTAAAGTCAATAGAATGAAAGGAAAACAAATAATCAATATGATCTTGAAAGTGAAATGCCTGTTGATGTAGTTGAACACCAACTCACTCCAGTCATTTAAAAAGATCCAATCCCTGATCAAAAAGGAGTAGTTTCTCCATTTGCTCCTGCTGACAACAGTTTACCTTATTCATCATATGATAGTGAAAGTGGATTTGAGGTTAAGGAAAGTGATATCAGAATGTAGGGATCAATCAATCCAAATGATTTAGATCAATATTTGGAAGAGTAATATAGAAAGGAGATGGAATAGTTTGCAAATGTCCCTATTTGAAAATATAATATAATTATTAAAATAATTCAATCTGAATCATCACTATATGATAATCTCTATCTCAAATTGTAAGTTTAAACATCATTCTTTACAGAGCCATTACTCAAAAAGAATAGATTTATATAATATTCTTAAATTTTTAATTCAGATTCTTTTGATTTAGAACTAGCAAACATATTCAATTTAATATTGTTACCATAAACACAAAAAAAATATGCTATAGCAATTACATTCTTGAATTTTAAATTATCTATCATTCTATCATCATTTAATTGTATATTGACTCCCAATTTGATAATTTATATCAAAAATGTTTAATTATTTTAGATTATCCTCTACTATATCATTATTCTAATTCACTTTTAAATTTCTTAATCATTATTTTATTGTTAATCAAAAAAATTTAAGAATTTATTTTTAATATAGAATCTGATATTCTTTAAAAAAATATAGGAATTATTGCAGTTCTCTATAATTGCCATTAATAAGAATATCTATTATAAATTAGATTGTTTAATTTTAAATTAATAATTACCATTTTAAATTAAGTATAAACTTCAATCAAGTTATCAAAATTAATGAAATTAAATTTCTAATTATACATTTTGCAAATTAGAAACAATCGATATATAAATGAAATATTTATTAAATTTTTTTTTATTTATATTTTCAACAAAATAAAACATGCCAGGCTATGATATAAGCAGATTTCAACCAACACCTGACTATCATTACATCTGTTTAGCTTGTAAAACAGTTGTAAAGGACCCATAAGAGTGTTTTTATTGTGGTTAATTGTACTGCAATGATTGTGTTGTACAAAAGCCTATTTGTAAAAGTCCTGATTGCCCTTCTTAAGGAAATCCTTAAAAATATGATAAAATTTAAGGGGCTATGCTTAGAGCTTATAGGAATTTGACGTTATAGTGCATAAATCCAAAATGCAAGAAACCAATTTCTATTATTGATTTGGATAAACATGAAATGGAATGTGGTAAATCAAAATGCTAAAATTTTGAAGTATGTCAAGAATTTGTACTAAATGAGTAATTCTATAAATAATTCTTAGAAGATCATAATTTTGCAGCTTGATATGTAAATATACTGATCATTTATTTAAAAATGCAGGATCTCGTATGGAATAATACAAAATTTTAGAACAGTATGTGTTTGAATTATAAACTTAACCATCTCAATAATTGATTAAATAAGCATAAATAAATCAATAATTACCTATAATTAGTGGAGAAGGAGGTACTGTTTTCAAATGGGACAAAAATAAATGTGGATTAGGTATTTAATTGGCCATGGGAGATACATAAGTATTCCTTAAAGAAAGTTCATACATTTTCAGAACAGTATTGGGTGATATGGTATTATTTAATATTTAATCTAGCCATTTGAAAGTGGGGTTCATTATTGGGAAATTGAAGCAGATAGTAGAACAGAAAATGAATTAAAGATTGGAGTTTATTCAGGAAATGCATTAAATTTAAATGCTGCATTTTGTGATTTAAATTAGGGATTTGCTTATTATGGATTAGCATAATTAAGAAATGGACATACTGCATCAGGTTCAACTTATGGAAAAAGATTCAAAAAAGATGGTGTTCTTGGTGTCTGTTTAAATATGAATAATGGTATTTAATATTATAAATTGCTTTAGGTACTCTATCATTTTAATTAAACAATGAATATTGGGGTATAGCATTTAGATCAGATCTGCTTAAAAAAGGGCCCATCTATGCTGCAGTTGCTTTACTCCACTGTGCTGGTTGCACACTAAAAACTGGAAGACCAAAACCTTCCTTTATGGAATGATATTTATTAAACTGCTGTATAATTAGCCAACTTTTATTGTATATTTATTTTTTCAATTTTCCTTTTATTAATTAGATTGCGCGATATTTAAGAAATTTAAGCTGAAATTCTTTTTAATAGTTTTGAATTATGGATAATTATTATAGATTTTTAAAGTAATCCAAGTAGAATATTTTTAAAAAATAGAATTCTTTAATAATCGTATATTTTTGATAATTCAAATCAATATATTTTGGTAGTTGCATCTAATACACAAAATTATTGATTTAAGCTTATTTTATACTTTTATTGTATTTGTTATTTATATCAATAAAAATTTTCGAGTAATCTTTGCTTCAACTCCTTTCTAGAATAATAGAAACTGTTAGAAAGTGTATATTCTTTGTTACCTGAAAAAATGTGATTTTTATATAGAATTAAAGAGTTTATACATACCAATATATACTTACTTTTGTATGTATTAATAAAATGAATAAATTAATATTATCAATAGTATTCACTACTTTTCTAGTTGCTTATGTTATATTAGATGTTACTTTTGATGATGAACTTTGGGTTATAAGTAAATCATTTGCAAAATCGATGCAATAATCAATTCCTACTTTTGAACTAGTTGTTTACGAATTTTTTACATACTTAGTTTTCATACCACCTTTGGCAGCATTTTATTGCTTCATATATGATGACAATAAATTAAATTCACTGCTTTATTTAGCTGTTGTTATTGCAAGTGCAACTACAAATGAACTTTTAAAAAGTATATACCATTAAGCACGACCATACATGATAGAAACAGATATTTAAAGGTACCTAAAATTATATTTTAGTTTGAAATGTAATTCTGATTATGGAAAGCCCTCAGGACATTCACAAAATTCAGTTGTGATGATTATTCTTATGCCAATATTGCTTTTTCCATAAATAAAAAATCTAGGGAGGAATAAAGTCTAGGTGGAAATTTAAAAAGGTTATAATATCTTAGATTTATTAGATCTTGATAGAAGTGAATCTCATACAGGTTATACTATAAATAGTTTAGAAAATTCAGAGTTAGAAGTAATTTTTATAAGAATATTTAGTTAAGAATAGTTAATTAGAAGCAAATGACAATATATAGTCAAAATTTTAAATTGCAATGAAATTAATAATAATTTCATTCCTTCTTACAAGCATTATTATGACTGGTATTTCAAGAGTATTTCTTGGGGTTCATTCTATTGGATAGGTATTACTTGGTTGGGTTTGGGGTCTATATATAACTTTAATGTATGTTTTTATCATTCATGATTCATTAAAACGGTATATAATCAATCAATAATATATTTAGATACATATTAAATTTGTTTTATCCATAACAAAGTAAACATAAAGAAATGAATCATTTCATTCCTATGGCATTTTTCCTATTGTTAGTTCTATTGGGTTTATCATTAGGATTATTAAAATTAAATTCCTTAATTTATTATGAGCGATTAAGGATGAGTTCATGGATTGAAAAAATAAATCAATGCAAATAAACTAATTACACAAGAGATTCTCCATAAATATTATATAATTCTTGTTTCCAATTTACAGGAATTGGAGCTATAATAACAGGATTATTAGTTGGTGCTGTATTAGTCTAAGGTTCTTATGATGAAGGTAACTTTAATAAATGGAAATTAAAACTTTCAAAAACTTAGTTTATTAAAAGATTACTTTCATTATTGATTCCATTTATAATTTTGATTCCTTTTGTATTTATTACCTCAAATAATGTAGTAGTTCAATTGATGTGCAAAGTATGATTAAATAATGAAATTAGATACTTCCAATATCCTTTGGGGTTGGAATAATCATAAATGGAGTCTTTCCATTTCTATTAAGAAAATTTAATTTACAAATACCAGGAGATTTTCTATTTTTATGTCAAAGTTAATACTTGTTGTGTGATTTAAATAAAGATAGCTTACAATAATAAGTAAAAGAATATAATGATTCATATTAAAATATGCTTTGATTAAAATAATTAATTGTAAATGGACGCTGAAGTCACAATTTTTGATAAAATAATATCAGGTTAAATAAAAGCGAACATTGTTTATTAGGATGATCTAGTATTATTGATATATAATTAGTGTCTTGCTTTTCATGACGTTAATCCCTAAGCTCCAGTGCATATTCTATTAATTCCAAAATAACGAAATGGATTGACATAATTATCTAAGGCTTAAGAACACAATAAGGAGGTCTTAGGTCATTTATTATTCACAGTGACAAAGATAGTAGAATTAGTCGATGAATTAAAGAAAGGATTTAGAGTAGTAATTAACGATGGTGAGAATGGAGGTCAAAGTGTTTGGCATCTTCATCTCCATATTATTGGAGGGGAATAATTAACATGGCCTCCAGGATCCAGTGGAAGCTCAAAGAAATGAAGATGGTTAAATAATAATAATTACATTTTATATTTAATGGATCAGAATCTTAACACTCTGTCTTGAACATACAACATTTCATATCTTGTATTGTAATCCATGTCTCCAGATGGTTTGCATGCTAAGTCCCAATATGATGTATTAAACACCTATTCATTAAATATTATTAGATACTTAACAAGGATCTCCCAATAAAAATGTATTCCAAATAAGAATGTAAGCAAATAACACCCAACCACTTCTATACATTAGATTCATGGCCATCACATGCATCTTATAAGTATAACTGTGATCCTCTTCCATTCCAATGCTGTCACCTGCTTATCTCAAAACTAATGTTTTGAATAATCCTCTTTTAACTTAAATTAGAAAATTTACTGTCTTCCAATTCCATGATAATATCCAGTTTAATATGTTGCCAACAATTTTGGATCGAATCTATTAATATATTAATAGTAAGCATGTTTTGAACAGGTTTTGTAAAATCTCTTCTCCATTATTTAATATTATTATATATAATTTTATTTACAATTGATACTATATCATTCCTTCTTTTTCTTTCCTTCTTTCTTACTTTAATTACTCTTGCTTGTATTTCCCTTATTTTCAATTGCTTTAGGATCATTCTATATCTTTTGATTCTCATTCTAAATAGTGTAATCATCCTTTATGATTTCCTTTTCTCCCCAATACCAGGCCAGTATCTCATAAAGGGTTCTTACACCTCCAATCAATAAAGGACCAATTAACAGACCTTACCATTTAAATGAAATGTATCCTAAAATTACAGACATTGAACTCCAATATGCATCTCCTAATTATTTTTTAAATGTATTTAAGTAAATTGAACTAGAAGAAAAATAAAATCCAATTGCAAACAGCATAGTTAATCCATCATTGATACAAAACTCATGAGCAGCATTATTTAGAAATCCAGCCAACCACCAAATTCCTGTGATCAATATATATGTTAATCCAGGATCTACTATCTAAGTTAATGATAACAATCCAATCAAAAAACTTTATATGAATGCTAATTTTATTTATAATATATCTAAAAACATATAAGATAGCATAAAGTGTTACATAAATATAGTAAATAAGGATACAAATACTCCAGTTATATGTTTACTAATATTCTAAACTAGAGTTCCTTTAAATGAATTCTTCTTCTCATTCACACTAATTAAATCGTAGAATGAAGACTCTGTTAATAAGTACATTACACCCTATTAAAAGATTATGAATTTCACTAAAAATGCTACACTTCCACTAAATACTGTTATTAAGAACTGCCCAATCACTGATGCAAATTATTATAATTGGGGCAAAATAGCATTAACATAATTATAGCCGTATTGGAGATACTCATATATCTAATCATTCAACAAATCCAAATTATTAAAAAGCACTTTTGCTTAACAATACTTTGAATCTTGGCATTCCCTAATACTCTCAAGTATTTTTATAGCATGTTCTCCATAAAAGATTTCCAAAAAGATTACACTATTTTTATGATTATCCTGAACATCAACAGGATTTAAGTAAGTGGATAATTGCTAAATCTAAGCTTCTGATAGATATTGTCCTTAAAATTAGGATAAAAGGAAGTCTGCTGATAAATAATATTTATATTCATTTGGAATTTAATATTTTTACAACTTTGGTATCAAGTCTTCCTTGTAGATCATTATATCCTAATAGATTAATACTATTGCTATTGGTAATAATAGAATCATCACAAACAACACACATCCAAATAACACTGTATTAAATAACTTAGATTTGCTTATCCATTCTAATAACCCCTTCTCATCTTTGTTATTCTTCCTTTAAAAAGGATATGATATTATTCTTAACAAATCAATCACTCCCCAAAATAAAACATCCCAAAGTAATACTGAAGTTAAACATTATAGTTTAATTGCTATCACATAGAATACAAAAACATAAGGAATAGAAGAAATTGTGAACAGCTTTTTCAAATATTCTAACAATGTAAATGGATGCCTTAAGCTATATAAAACAGTTATTATTAAATTGAAAGCTATCCCAAATTTTGCTTGATGCAAAAAGTAAATTCTTTAGCTTGACCATCTTTCACTATTTTTTGCATATAATTTCTTAATATTATTAACTACTGAAATTCTAATGCTTGCTAACGCAACAGCAAAAATGATCTACTCTAAATAATTTTTGTACCATAAAAAAAAAGGTTGTTAGGTAATCGCCAGCCAGTTAATATAAACCATATAATATTCCTCCTCCAAAAGCAGTAATTATATTTGCCGTCACTAAATATCCTACTTGAGATGAACTCATTAAAAATATTTAAAAATAATTATAATTATGTTTAGATAGGTATTAATTTAAATATATCCTAATTCTATTATTTCATTAGAATATCATCTTATATGATTATCTAAATACAAAATTGTTATGAATATGCTCATATTCAAAGAATAAATGAAACAACTTTAAAATGAAAATACATGAATTCATTACTATCCAAGTGAAGTTATTTATGGGAAATTATTATCCTCGTAGAATAATGAAGGGATTTTTTTGTTCAAGTACCTTATATAATTTTATAGTATTTATACATTCAAAATTAATTGTAAGAAACTTTTAATATTAATTCTAAAGTATATAGTTAGTTTCTGCTATTTATGAAAATCTTAATAAAAAAATATAAGTCATTAAATTACTAAATTTAATAGTCATTATATNTGATATTATTCTTAACAAATCAATCACTCCCCAAAATAAAACATCCCAAAGTAATACTGAAGTTAAACATTATAGTTTAATTGCTATCACATAGAATACAAAAACATAAGGAATAGAAGAAATTGTGAACAGCTTTTTCAAATATTCTAACAATGTAAATGGATGCCTTAAGCTATATAAAACAGTTATTATTAAATTGAAAGCTATCCCAAATTTTGCTTGATGCAAAAAGTAAATTCTTTAGCTTGACCATCTTTCACTATTTTTTGCATATAATTTCTTAATATTATTAACTACTGAAATTCTAATGCTTGCTAACGCAACAGCAAAAATGATCTACTCTAAATAATTTTTGTACCATAAAAAAAAAGGTTGTTAGGTAATCGCCAGCCAGTTAATATAAACCATATAATATTCCTCCTCCAAAAGCAGTAATTATATTTGCCGTCACTAAATATCCTACTTGAGATGAACTCATTAAAAATATTTAAAAATAATTATAATTATGTTTAGATAGGTATTAATTTAAATATATCCTAATTCTATTATTTCATTAGAATATCATCTTATATGATTATCTAAATACAAAATTGTTATGAATATGCTCATATTCAAAGAATAAATGAAACAACTTTAAAATGAAAATACATGAATTCATTACTATCCAAGTGAAGTTATTTATGGGAAATTATTATCCTCGTAGAATAATGAAGGGATTTTTTTGTTCAAGTACCTTATATAATTTTATAGTATTTATACATTCAAAATTAATTGTAAGAAACTTTTAATATTAATTCTAAAGTATATAGTTAGTTTCTGCTATTTATGAAAATCTTAATAAAAAAATATAAGTCATTAAATTACTAAATTTAATAGTCATTATATTAATAAATTTAATAATATAACATTTAATATTTTTGCTTTTTTATTATAGTTTATTAATGTGATTAATAAATTTTAAGATATAAATTTTAGTTTTATATATAAGTTTACTAATTATAATTTATAAAGTGATTAATTATTTTTAGTTTATAAATTATAATTTATAAAAGTAATTAATTACTTTTAGTTTATTTAATTAATATTAATCAGTGATTAATTATTTTTAGTTTATATATGATAGTTTCTTCTAAAGTATATACCGAGATTGCTGGAGAAATCATAGATAAAGTGAAAAATTTGTCAAATTATAATTTAAGGCTGGAGTAACTCCATAAGAAATATCAGCTCTAGAATATTTGTCAACAAAATAATAAGTCATTTAGCAAAAGAATAAGAACCCCAAATATTTACAAGGAGAAAACCCTTTTTTGAAATATATTCCATTTATAATATATATTGTTCTTTCGGAATAACTTTGGATTGAAATGGGGATCAATATCAATCACTTAATTCAGAAATTTTATTCACTCAAATCAATTTTCATTTAAAACACCGTTTTGAGAATTTCCAAAAATTCCATAAAACTTGAATGGATAAGGAAAAATTAATTACATTCAGTAGTTCTGCTCATATTAGAAACAAGGATTTTAACTGATGATTTTGGAAGAATGCAGCTTAGCTCACAATTCATCTCCTAAAAAAATATGGCAGAAAAAGGGCAACAATTTATATTTTCCTCATTAAGTTATAATAAAGGCTAATTCATTAATTGGTTGTATTTGGACAAATGGATTTCTCAATTTTTAATAATTAGTTGGCTATGTAGATTCGAACAAGTTTATTAGTTATTTTTAAATTCTCATTAATAAAGCTGAATCATATTATCAAACTAGAAAGTTTATAATAATTTTAGATAATGCTCAAATTCACAAAAGCAGCAAATCCTTAAAAAATTTAGAATAATAAGCTTGTCTGTTTTTACCTCCTATGGGATTAAATTAAATACTATATATTAAAATAAGGATTTTTACGCTGGAGTAGCATCCTATTAAATTGTTCATCAAGCAACTATAGAAATAAATTATTAATCTATCTATGATATATATATATATTATTAACAGCAAGCTATAAACTTGAAGTATTTGAAGTCAGCAAATTAACGCAATAATACGCTACAAAAAATTCCTCAAGTAAACCAAAAATCAATTTAAATAATTTAGAAATTCATAATTGTACATTTACAAAGTAAATTAATATCTTAATAATTGTAGCTTAATTTCAAATATAATTATTATTTTATTTCTTTTTGATCAATTCAAATTTTGGTTATGATGGAGCAGAAATGGGATGTGGAGAAAAGTTAAAAATCGATAGGGTTGGATAAATTTGATTATTTGGATAACACCAAAAGCCTGAAACTAAGTTTACATTTGCGTTTAATTGGAAAAAAAAGTTAGAAGTATCAAGAAAAACTTGAAAAAATGTTAAAGATATTTAAATGATTATTTGAGAAAATGAAAAAAGGAAAAATTTTGATATTTAATTATTATTTTACATTCATTGTATTTGAATTTTCTTGAATGTATAAGCCAATACCATAAAATTCTGTCTACAACATGTTTGGGTCTATATACTCTTTTGTGAATTTATTTTGAGTTAATTTTCTTATTAAAACTGCATTTTCTTTTTAAGCCACTTTTGATACTTATTGAATATAGTTTTTTAGGCTCGACCCTATTTCTTTTGCTTATCATTCGTCTTTAATAAATCCAAATAAGTTTTTGCTTATTCAAAATCAATTCATTTAAGTATCCATTTTTTACCATAGTAGAAAAGGATATCCATATTGCTTTTATTTAATTCAGTTAATAGCAGTCAGATTGGCATCTTGTATGTTATTAAAACATCGATCCTATTTGTGTTGATGATTTCAATGAAAAATGATAAACATCAAATAAATTATCATCCTTTAGAATTCCCTCCTCTTAATCTTTATTGTATTCAAATGAAATTTATTAAGATGATAAATTATCATCTTATTGCATGATTATTTAATTAATACGTATTTTTGACAATAAACATCAATCATTTATAACGACATATTAATTTTAAAATCGAAATATTTATTGCGAAAAAACAAAAAATTTTGAGAAATAAAAAGAAAAATATCAAATTGAATAATAAATTGTAAGTCAAATGGATTCTTATACGATATATAAAATATTTTTCATTCTCGTTTTTAGGTAATCACTATTGAAGAAGCCAATCAATTAAGAGGTTCATTGAAATCACTTTACACAAAACTAATTTTAAAAGGTTATTATTAATTTAAATACGAATATACCTGTATCAATTGCCAGAATTTATTGTAGAATAAAATAGGGATATAATTAGTAACAATTGTTTATTATTATAAGTCTTGATTAAAGAGTTTATATTTTGGTTGCCTATTAGAAATCTAAAAATAAAGCTAGCTTAGGTTGTTTAAACTTTGAAATAAAGTATAAAAAATTGGAATAATTCTCAAGAATGCTTTATTATGAGAGACAAAATAAGATGAACTTAGTCATTTGTAAAAAAGTAAATCAGTTATAATTCGATATCTAGTCAAACTTTTAATAGAATAATTTTTAACTATATTTATACAATTTTATTATAATTGATGTAATTTATTTAATATTAAGAATATTTAATTATAATTTATAAAATTGATTAACTATTTATAGTTTATGATCATAATTTATATTATTTAATTATAATTTATAATTTTGATGTTTACCTTATAAAACTATTATGAAAATGCATTTTACGATTACAATATAATCCTTTTAGTTATATAATAGCATTTTTCTATTCTTAATTTAGGGTATTGAAGATTTAATTAGAGTTATTATTTAAATTGCAGTAACCATTGTATTCATTGATTAGATCTATATTTTTAATTAGTTATCAATTTAATAGTAAACCTATAATTTTCTTATTTTATAACTTGAATAGATTCAATAGTATTTTTAAAGTAAAAAATCTTTCAAAAAAAAAACCATATTTATAAATTTTTATCATTTATGTCACAAACAGAAAGTTTTTTTTTTAAAGTATTTTCATTATCATTAAGTTTACTAATTCGAATCAATTCTGATTGAAATAATCAGAAAGTAAAATTTATATATAAATAATAATAATAATAAATTACAATTATAATTAAAAATAATGAGTACATAGGCAATCCATAAAAAAATAGATTCTGATAAATTAAATTGGTAAAACTTAAGAAAAAAGATTATAAAAAAATACCCTTAATACAAGGTTATAATAGATTCCAACTCTAACCTTTTTTCAAAATTAGACTTTTCAAAAAAAGAGAATTAAGTCAAAGTGATAAATAAAATAATAGAAAAATAGTAATAAGCACTAGAATAAATTTTTACAGAAGAACTTATAATTTAACAAAAAGAACAATAAAAGTAAATATAAAAGTTGGTTGGAATTATTGCGAAGTAATCAAATGCAAAAACAACCAAATAAGATGAGTTAAAAAAAAAAGAGCAACAAAAAGGAAATTAAAAAAATAATAATACAGCTCCAGTTAAATTGTAGAAAAAGGTTTCTGATAAAATAGAAGCTTGGAACACTCTTGATGATACTTAAAGCTTAATTCATGATTATCAAGATGGTACCCAAGATTAATTTTACATCACATAAGATGTCTAAGCTCCATAAGAAAACGAATAATTAAAATCAAATTAATAGATGCCTTAATCCATTCTTGTGAAAAAAAAAAAAAAATTAAAAAAAACTAAAGCTCCATTGATAAAAGAGAAATCTGTTAGATTCTTAGAAAATAATAGCCAAAACGAAAAAAATATAAAAAATAAATTAAATCGGAATAAGGAAGCCTCAAGTGATTATGAACCAGGAAAAAACGAGCATGTAAATAAAATTTTAGAAAATGAAAAGTTCAATACACTTGATGGAGAAAACGAAAATGAGGATGAAGAGGATAATGTCTAAAGTGATTAAGATAACGATCAAGAAGAAGATGAAGATCATAATGATCATGATAATAGTTATAAAGAAGGTTAAAAAGAGAATGAGGAAGAGGAAGAAGATGAAGAGGAAGATGAAGATAAAGAAGAAGAAGAAAATGAAGAAGAAGAAGAAGAAGAAGAAGAAGAAGAAGAGGATAATGAAGAAGACGAGGAAAATGAAGAAGACGAGGATAATGAACAAGATGAAGATGATGAAGAAGACGAAGATAATGAAGAAGAGAATATTGATGATGATGAAGAAGAAGAGGAAGTAGAGGAAGAAGTTGATGATGAAGAAGAATATGAAGATTAGGAAAACGAAAACTCTGAAAATGAAAATGATTAGTAGGACAAGGAAGAAGATGAGAACCAAAAAAAATTATAGAGATTAAAAGAAAAAGCTCTTAAGAAAAAATGTTGATTTATTTTTATTTATCAATGAATAACTCTATGGTTGAAATAAAAAAATTTTTATTCAAGTGTTGCAATTGAATAACTATTTTAAATTTAGAAAATTTTCATATTTTTTATTTATTTATGTAATTAAAGTAATTAAATGGAGGAAATTCAAGAGAATCATGATAAAACTAATACTAACATTTAGCTTGAATAATTGATTTTTTAATAGAAGAGAGAAAAACTTAAGTTATTAAACAAAATAAAGTTAATTGGAAAAATAGTAGAGGTACAATATTTATATAATAATAAGAATGTTAAATTCTTAGGTAGAATAATATAGAAGAGAAACTGATGATTAAAAGATAAGATTAAGCAATTCACAAATCTATTAGTTAAGCAAGAACTAGTTTAAGATAAAATGAATGTACTTATGTAACTAAATATTATTTTTAATAAAGATTGACACTAGTTTAGAAAGATAATTAATAATAGTAAAGAACAATAAATCATAATATTTCATAAAGTGTTCCATAGACAGGAATGAAGCAAAATAAATTTTATAGTAATTAGGAGCTAAAAACAAAAATGAGTGAATAATAGTATATAGAAATTTCATATTGAAGAACATTAGATGAGAAATTTGTAAAAGAAAATGGAGACTTTGGATATCAGGATAGCAAATAACAGTTATTTTAATAATAAAACTATAGATTTCCATCTCTTATTGGAGACTAAAATAAGCTGGTAGTCGTACAAATCCATAGAAGTAAATTGAAGAAAATGACTTCCCAATAAGTCGAGTAATTACTGAATAAAGTATGAGAATAATCTTTGCGATTTTTATGAATCAGTATTATAAAAAATTAAATCAAAATAAAATATAATGAAAAGATAATTAGTAAGTTTTGTGGCTCGTTTTGTAAAACAACATCCTTATTTACAAGTTAAGACATCTTTTTGCTAACATGAACACGTAAGTTGTATTTAAAGAGTTAGGGTTGCTTGTATAATGTTTTAGAGGGATTAGTGAGATCTTTTGGTATAGCATATACTATGAAGGCCCTTTTTGGTTTGATTTCTGCTTTGTTATCTAAAAATAAGAAAATTAGCAAAGGAAATTTAATTTTAGAAGCATTTTTTGGAATAGATACATTGAAATTTGCATCATTTCCAACTGTTTATTCATTAATACAAAAAACTATAATTTGTGGATGTAGACATATAACACAGCAAGATCTTAAAATTATGTCTTTTGTGTCAGGATTTAGTGCTGGATTTGTGAGCTTAAGTTTAATCGAAGAAAGTAAGAGAAAGAATTGGGCTTTGTATTTGCTGACAAGATCAATGGATACTATGTTTAATTCATTAATAAATAAAAACATAGTTGCAAAACGAAGCTATTATTACATTATATTTATGGGTATTTTGAGATATAAGATAAATAGCAATTGAGGTGTTGGTGACAGCTTATGCATTTGGTTGCGAAAATGATTGTTTAGAAGATTATATGTTGAAATTTTATGCTAGATTTGGTAATGAAAATCAATGTGAATTGGATGAAAGGNATAAAATGAATGTAATTAATATTTTAAACATAGTATTCATTCATTTTATCCCTTAAAAGCTTAGGATAAAGAATGTTCTTCATCAATTAATTAGATGAAATTTATCAAAATACCCAAAAATAATTTTACAAAAATTTATCTTAAATATTTTTGAGTTTATTTTTCTCCTCAAATACTTTCATAAGTTTATTAACTGAAGTTATATTATAATTATATAATACTTATGTAACTAAATATTATTTTTAATAAAGATTGACACTAGTTTAGAAAGATAATTAATAATAGTAAAGAACAATAAATCATAATATTTCATAAAGTGTTCCATAGACAGGAATGAAGCAAAATAAATTTTATAGTAATTAGGAGCTAAAAACAAAAATGAGTGAATAATAGTATATAGAAATTTCATATTGAAGAACATTAGATGAGAAATTTGTAAAAGAAAATGGAGACTTTGGATATCAGGATAGCAAATAACAGTTATTTTAATAATAAAACTATAGATTTCCATCTCTTATTGGAGACTAAAATAAGCTGGTAGTCGTACAAATCCATAGAAGTAAATTGAAGAAAATGACTTCCCAATAAGTCGAGTAATTACTGAATAAAGTATGAGAATAATCTTTGCGATTTTTATGAATCAGTATTATAAAAAATTAAATCAAAATAAAATATAATGAAAAGATAATTAGTAAGTTTTGTGGCTCGTTTTGTAAAACAACATCCTTATTTACAAGTTAAGACATCTTTTTGCTAACATGAACACGTAAGTTGTATTTAAAGAGTTAGGGTTGCTTGTATAATGTTTTAGAGGGATTAGTGAGATCTTTTGGTATAGCATATACTATGAAGGCCCTTTTTGGTTTGATTTCTGCTTTGTTATCTAAAAATAAGAAAATTAGCAAAGGAAATTTAATTTTAGAAGCATTTTTTGGAATAGATACATTGAAATTTGCATCATTTCCAACTGTTTATTCATTAATACAAAAAACTATAATTTGTGGATGTAGACATATAACACAGCAAGATCTTAAAATTATGTCTTTTGTGTCAGGATTTAGTGCTGGATTTGTGAGCTTAAGTTTAATCGAAGAAAGTAAGAGAAAGAATTGGGCTTTGTATTTGCTGACAAGATCAATGGATACTATGTTTAATTCATTAATAAATAAAAACATAGTTGCAAAACGAAGCTATTATTACATTATATTTATGGGTATTTTGAGATATAAGATAAATAGCAATTGAGGTGTTGGTGACAGCTTATGCATTTGGTTGCGAAAATGATTGTTTAGAAGATTATATGTTGAAATTTTATGCTAGATTTGGTAATGAAAATCAATGTGAATTGGATGAAAGGAAATGTTGGCATGAAAGAGTTAGAAGACAGTTCGAAAATAAATAATGATATAATAATTCAATATTATCGGCCACCAGTCTTACTAGATCTTGTATTAGATTATTATACAGTTGTAGTTTTTTCAGTTGTAGTAATGGTTTTTTATTTTTTCAAAGAATCTAATTCAGCTTATGCCATCATCCACTATTCTTAAGCAGTGTGAAAATCTTAATTTGCTTTCATGAATCTTTCTTTCCAAACATCTGCTTCATTTGAATAATATTTCATTTTTTCTGTAGTCTATTGATATTCACTCATTTCTTGTTCTAATTGACGAATCATTTATTTATATTATGCTATCTCTTAATCTTTATTCCTAATATATTAATCGAAAAATTTACTAAATTAATCTCATGTAATTTTGCATTTCCACATTCTAAGAATTTAATGCATTTTCCAATTTCAAGATTTGCCTTTCTTTTTCTGCTAAAGCATCTCTTAACTATCTGACTTCTTCTCCACCTTATAGTAATTGTTAAAACTCTAATTGCAATTTGGAATATCTCTATCTCCAAGAGTCAATTTCACTTTATTGACTTTCTATTTCTTTTCTCAAACCATCTTCTATGTCTTTCATCATTTTTATTTTTGCTTCCAATTCTCTCACTTAAAATTCTTCATTTGATGTAACCTTTAATTCTTATCCTTAATTTTTATATCTGGCTAATTCTGTTTACAAATCAAATATTTTAATTTCTAATTCAACACATTTCTTTTTCCAAGGTTCTTCTACATCTTCAACAGAAAGCACTTACAATTCTCTTTCTACATGATACATCTCATTAATTTCTGGCTATTAAGGAGGAGCAGCAGCAGCTACAATAGTTTACTATGGAACAGTAATAATAGGTTATTATGGAGCAGCAACTATTTGTTATTAATATTGAGGTATTTTATATTCATGAGTATGATGCCTATTTGAATTCATTTGTAATATACGTGTGATGTTATTATATTGTTTTGACATGTTGATTTTATTATGTATACATTTGACTCTATGCTGCTTGCTGTTAATATACCATTGAAGTTTAAGGTGATATCATTTTTAGTTAGATAGGTGATTAAAATTACTAAGGAGGAAGTCTTTAATTAGTTTAAGTCTATTATTGGTATAAAACAGATTGAACAGGAAGTTAGGCATATTAATTGTTCGTTAACATTATTTAAATATAAATTATCAATACTCGGATTTTTTATCCAAAAGTCTATAAAATACATATATATATCATCCTAGATTTATTCTCTTTTATATTTACTGAATAATTTTTAGCATCACATCTAATTATAATATGGGAACTATTAAACAACTTCCAGGGGCAAGTTTTGCAGATCTGACTTATTCAGATTCTTTGATAAAGCTATTTCTATTAGTTGATTTTTCTATTTGTTGATTTAATAAAAGTATCTAAACAACAATCCCTCTAAATTCTGTACATAAAGTATGAATCTCTCCTCCTACATTAAAAATCAAATTATATTTGGATTGATTTGTAATTGCCTCTACAATTAAATTCAATTTTTAGTTTGATTAGAATCTTTTTGAAATTATTTATAAGTCTTTCATAATAAAAAAACTTTGATAATTAACAATTCATTCTTCTTTTTTTTCGTGTAATAGTATTCTATATGGTCTGACATCTTTTGACTCATTAACAACAAAATAATTAAGTGACTTCATTAAATCACTTTATCTAATTTTTTTTGGATTTACTCTTGACATAAAGATAACAGCAAATTATTTATCACCAACTTAAGTAAACGGAGCATACTCATTTCCATCATAAACACAAACTGATAATTTATCAGAAAAATAAATTCCATTCCCAACAAAAACTGTATTTCCAAATTCGTCTTTACATTAATCATTAGCATGAGCTTATCCACACCCTGGTACTAAATTATTTTTAACAATTTAGCTAATAGCAAAATTTTTAGTACCATGATACAAAATTCTCCATTCATTAGGATTTCCATCCATTTTTATCCAATCATCATTTCCATATTTTTCTACATTTAAGCCAAATCCTTAACAACCTATTGGAAAATAATAATCGTATCTATGATAAGGAGGTCCTCTCTATTCTTTTTCAGGAAAATTGTCCCAAGTCCTATTGAATTTAGGATTAAAATCATCAGGAGAAAGTATTACTTCTGTAGAGTTTTTTGCCTAATTTCCTCCAGCAGCTCTTACTTAATCGAAATATGTTAAATATTCAATTTTCCCATTACAATATTTGTTTAAGAAATTCTATTCATCTTGATTATTTTTAATCTCTTATTAAATATCATCTGAATTTTTTCCTGTAATTTAAACATTAATTTCAAGGCCTCTTTTTTTTGATACTCCTAAAATTTCAATTTAATCAATTGATATATTAAGTGAATTTGATAGTTTTTATTTAAATTCTATTAAATGTTTTTCTAATAATTAATTGTCATTCACAATTGTATCATAATCAAGATTTGTATTTCTAACTTTTAAACAAGATTAATCTGAACCATATACTCCTGTAATTGAATCAAATCCAAATGAATATTATTTGCTAGTTTATAATAATTCTCTATTTTAATCTCTTAATTATGATTCTTTTAAAACATAAAGTGCTAATTCAGGATTTGAAACTTCAATATTCTATTTTACATGAGGTATTTCTTTTACTTCACCTTAATCTTTTAATTTTTTTAATAATTATTATTAATTTTAATGTTTTTAGAATTACTTTTAATTATAAGTAGCAATAATATTATTATCTAATTTATTCATTTCTGAATTTAATTTTTATATATATTGTTTAATTGGTTATTTAATAATTTGTTTTTATATAGATGTTTATTAGATTATAGGTTATAATTGTTATTTAATAATTTACTTTTATTGCTTTAAATTCTTTTTTTCATATATTTCTTCTTGTTATATTTCTTCCTATCTAAATTTTTCTTGTTCAATCTTTATTATATTTTCTCCTTTAATATATTGCTTCTTTGCTTGTTCCTATATAATTTAATCTTGTTCTGTCTTTTTTATATTTTCTCCTTCAAAAAATTACTTCTCTTCTACTTAATAGCAATACTGGTTTCTACAATAAAGGTAAATCAAAGTAAATAAAATTAGCAACAAAAAGCTAAGTAAGTATAAAAGGAGGTCCATCTATATATATTGAGAATTTTTTTTATTGAATAATTAATGCAATAATAAAAATAGTAATTATAAAAGAAGATTTATTTCTTTGATTAGATTGATATTATCGAGAATATAGTTAATACTAATAAATTGAACAAAACAATAATTTAATCTTATCTTTATGTTAAGAGTTAATCCAAAAAAAATTAGATAAGTGAAAGAATGAAGTCAAAACATTATTTGTTGTTAATAAGTCAAAAGAGGTAAGGCTCAATTATTTTCCAAAAAAAAAGAATTTTATTGCTAAATAAAGCTAATGATTATGAGAATTTAGCTTGTTGAAATATTTATTTAGTATATTTTAGTCAAAAAGTAATTAAGTATCTCTTAACTAAAATAGAATTTTTAATTTTTTGTGAATATTATCTAACATTTAAATAATGGTTGGAAAATGATTCACTAGCACTAAATAATATTTTTTATATAATATTTTGTAAATGATATTTGATATTATTAAGATGTTATTATAAATTTATATTTAGAAATATGAAATTTAAATTAATATTATTTAATGCAAAAACATCCTATCTTACCAATCAATACACCAAGAGATGCCACTTGTCCAATTCAATATTAATCTACTTTCAGGAAATAATATGATGCAGTGACTCCAACATAAAATACAATAAACAAAAAAACTGAAATTCCAAGAGCACCATCAGCTATGAATAATAAATTATATGCAGAATAAACTATGATGAGAACTAAACAATATTAATCTGATTAATAGTATATAAACTAAATTAAAGTAGTCATTAAAAATATAATTCATAGGGAAGTCTTTCTAATTGTAACAGTAATAAATCTAGGAACTCTAAAAACTCTACAGGTTTTGATTAAGTTGCAAACATATTTAGTGAAACAGCATAATAGAATTAATCATCTAACATACGTATCTCGCATTTTCATACAAATACAGCTCCAGTTAATTTGTATGAATAGAAATTCAATGATGAGATGTTCCTTCTTAAAGATCAAGACACAGGTTTCAAATTCTACTTATTACAACAGGAACTATCTATGATATTAGATAAGTCGAAAAGATTCAAGTTAATAAAGAATACATGGCAAAGTTGAAAAAAAGACATAAATCAGCATGGCAAGGTTGGTGGTAATAAAAAAGGGAAAATAATCACTTTCTTATTCTAAATGCCAAATAGAACAACATAAAAGAAGTTGAAAAATTATTAGAGATTCCTACTAAAGATCTAAAACCAGAGATAAACATTAAAGATGATAATGGTAAAGGAAATGTTATAACATAAATAGGATTTGCTTCAATACATTACAGTTGTCTAAATTAAAATTATGATCTATCACTATTACTTCTAAAAAATGAAGCTGATTGCGATTCTGTAAATTCTTAAGGATAAACTCCATTAATAATTTGTGCTCAAAAGGGATGTGATTCTATTGCTACTCTATTATTAACAATAGGATCTGATATCAATCATATAGATAATAATTAAAATACTGCATTACATTATGCTTGTTTATTTTGTATCAATTATTAATTTATTCATTTTAGAACACATACGAATTGCAGAAATCCTTTTGGCAAGACCATCATTACAATTAAATTTAAAGAATATGGATAATAAATGTCCTGTAGAATTAATATAAAACAACAATACTTTAAAAAATCTTATTGAAAAACATTATAGGGTATTTATTCATTTAAATTTATTATCAGATGAAAAAAGAATCATTCAATTAATGTCATAAAGTTTAAATTTATGATGATTCCAAAGAGTAATAGAAAGTCAATTCTCCAACTAGTAAATAATAATATTATCTAACTAACTAATATTAATAAACATCTAAATGTTACTCACCTTATTAAACAGATAATTAATTTTCAACATCCAATCGTTCAACCTTAAATCAAGTTGTAATTGAGCATTAAATATTAGTCTTAACTAAATGAAAGTGAAATGATAGGTCCTTCCAATATAAGAATTATATTACAAATAGGTAAAGGATCATTTGGTGATGTGTATTTAGTTGAGAAAAGAAATTAAAGTAAATCTGGATAAGGATTAAAATATGCTATGAAAGTTTTACCTAAAAGTAAATTTTTGGGACACAATTTAATAAGATATGCGATGGCCGAAAGAAATATCTTATCTTATTTAAATCATCCATATATTGTTAAATTAAGATATGCCTTTTAAACTAATACCCATTTATGTTTATTGATGGATTTCTGTCCAGGTGGAGATTTATCTAAAATTATATAAAATTAAAAAAGAATTCCAGAATAGGCTGCTAAATTGTATATTGCAGAAATTCTGACAGCTTTAGAACATCTTCATAAAAATGACATTATATATAGAGATTTAAAACCAGAAAATATTGTAATTGATACATAGGGTCATGCTATGCTAACAGATTTTGGATTATCAAAAGAAGGAGTAAGAGATAACTATGGAGCCAAAAGTTTCTGCGGATCTATGGCTTATTTAGCTCCTGAAATGTTAAAACGAGTAGGACATGGAAGAGCTGTTGATTGGTATCATTTAGGTATTTTATGATATTTATAATATCAGGTATTCTATTATATGAAATGATTAGTGGGAAACCTCCATATTTTTCACCAAATAGAGATGAAATGTTGAATAATATTGAATGTAATAAAATATCATTTCCTGACAATATTTCAAAGGAATGCAAATCAATTATTTAATAACTTTTAGAGAAGAATCCTATGGCAAGGTTAGGTGCATCATCAAGAGATGCAGATGAAATAAAAGATCATCCCTTTTTTAAGTAAATTAATTGGGATGATCTATTACAAAAGTAATAAAATTAATACTATTAAAATAGAAAATATAAACCTCCTTAACCTCTAATTAATTAAGAGATTTTAAATTAAAAATTTGATATTCCATTTGATTTTATATTATCAGCTGATAAATCTAGTTCTATTAATTACATCAATGGATGGTCATTTATAAATAATGATTTTAGCTAATTTTGATTTTAATATATAATTGTTTAATATATTTTATAATTCAAAGCACATTATCATCGACGTTAAGTAAATTATCATCTTATTAAAATAAACTAAAAGTATGGGAATTTGGTTAGAATGGCATTCCTCTTGTTTCAAAATCCTTCTGATATTGCTTCATCTTTTAATGTAAATTGGCAATCAAGTCCATTTTGTTTTATAGTTAGAACATCACTTTAGAGACATATTGTGACATATCTTAAGGAGATTAGACTTATTACAAATTAATCATTTCCTTTGGTATAATCAAATCAATACATCTTTAGTGATTTCAACTATTTTATCAATAGTTTATTTATGCTCATTCAAAATGTGTTACTAATATTGATAATCATTATTTGTGAATGGTCTATTATTAAAGTACTTAGACCCTTCATAATTATTAATTTCTTATAAGGGTCTTGTGGAACTTTGTCTTGAGGATTGGGATTCTTAAGAATACCTTCCTGTAACACTAAAATAGTTTGGATTGTTTATGCATAATTCTTCTTCAACCATAGAATCTTATCTAACATCTAATGCTAATTAATTTGATTGCTATTATTAATATCCTTAATCATATCCATTTTCTTAAAAAAGATTATTATTATTCTAACAAAATTATTGCTGTTATTATTATGGGAACAAGGGTGTTTTATTTTATTAAAATGGTTATTACTGAAATAATTAAGGTTATTATTAAGGAACTTCTGTCATTATTGAATTACATGAAGATTATTATTATAAGAATGTTTATTATGTATATTATTTGGAATTATTGGACATTATATTAGAAGAACTACCTCCATTAATCGTAGGTAAGGAACCTAAATTAAATCTATTAAGAAGATTATTATTAGAATTTTATTATAAAGAATTTTTAGGTATTTAAGATAATTTAGGTGGATTCTATTATTATTATTATTAAGGTTGCTATTATTATTAAGGAATAAATTATTATTGTTATTATTGTTATTATAATTATTATTAATAGATATATTAATTTGATTAATATTATTATTACATCATAATCTGTTATTATTACTATTATATTGATTATTATTGTTATTATTAAAACATAAATTACTGTTATTATTATGGGAACAATGAATTACTCATTGAATTACATGATATATCTTCATCATCCTCATCATCTGGATTCTTATATGCTTTTCTAACAACATTTGCTATTTTAATAATAAAATATATTATTACTATTTTGTCTAGCCAACATTAATTCCCTTTAAATATAATCACCCTAAAATTATTTATCTTAGGGTTTCTTAAGTTCCTTAACTCTATCAGCATATCTCAATGTATTCAAAGTATGTTCACTACTTGATGAACTAGGAGAAATGTTTCCAATCATTACTGTTTTACAATTACCTGTTAAACTATCCTTTAAAACCTAAGTATACTTTAATTAGAATTACTAATGTAAGTTTTGATCCTCTAAAAGGAGTGTGATTTTTATTTAAATCTAATGCTCTTATGCATTCTTTTAAAGCTAAAAGAGACTTATTAATTTCAGCACCATCTATTCTAGTTTGTTTATTTGAATCTTAAACATCAGCTCCTCTTTCACTTCCTGCTAAATCAATGAATGACAACTTGCCAAAAACATTTTTTCCTGCTCTTAAATTGATTTATAAAATAGCATGAGATCTTGATGATTCATTATTGGCTCCATTTTAAGCTAAGAAAAATAATAAAATAAATTAACCTGTCACTCTAACAGATTAACCCTAAGTAATGATTTACATAAGGGATTAGACTGAATTCACTTTCTTTTCCATTAGATTGATTAAATTGACATTTCCCTTTGCATCTTCTCTGATTTAGATTTACCCTCTCTAATTTAAAAGATCAAATAATTTGCCACAATATATTTCAAAAAAGGATACTCCTACAATCAAATGCTGAAATTCAGGCTAATAATATTATTGCTATCAATTTACTTATTATAGCAGTTAAAATATGTCATTAGCAGCTAAAATATACATTCCAGGTATTTATTTTTCAACATCACCCAACATAGTATGTGTTTTACCACTTCCTGTTTGACCATAAGCAAAACAAGTGACACGAGCCTTATTAAAGGCTGCCTCTATAATTGGTCGAACTGCATTCAAATAAACTTATTAATTTGAGGCATTCTGATCAAATGCCAAATCAAAGTTAAACATATGTTCTTCAACATATTTTGTAAGATCTACCTTTTGTCTATGTTTACAATTGTGTATTACTTCACTTCTCTAACAATTACACTTTAATCACTATTAACATCCACAATATCTTCATCCTTTTTTGCTAGCTCCTTTTTTCCTAATGGTCTTTTTCTGATAACTACAACTATCTTGTCAGCCAAATCAGACATTTGATCAAATTAACCGGTTTAAATTTAAATAAATTAACAATCAAATATGAGTATAATTAAATATCTATGTCATTATTACTATGATTATATAATCTATAAATTAGTAATCTATTCTATTCTAATCTCTTATTGAAAGTCCTTCTTTATAATAATTTCTGCCATATTATTCCCGATATTATATAAATACTTTATGTCTTTACTACTTCAGATCATAGATTTCCCTAACTTTCCTTTTGTATATCTGATGATGACCTTATCATACCTATTGATTGAATACTTCTCTACATCATCTACTTGTATCATAGATTAAACTATATTTTATATCCTTTGATATAGGTCTCTCAAACGATAATCTCTAATAATCTTTTTAAATAGTTGAGGGCTAGTTAATTCCATTCTTAAAATTTTATTCTTATTTGCTGTCTCCTACATCAAATTCTTCTTAGAAAAATCTTCCTTTAATGAATCAATTAAAATTTTTAGCTTCATTCAAATCATATGATTGTAATTATCTTCAATAGTTTTTGTATTTTGAAATCTCCTCTTTTCTCTTTATTTAAATAAATCCATATTATTTTTCTTCTCTCTCCTTTTAACTCCTTTTTTTATTCATACATAAAAAATAATTGATTAAATTTTCTGTTCTTACTTTGACTAATCATTATTATTCATTTACAATTTAATCCTGATTATTATTAATCTATTTAATTTAGAAGAAATCTATTCATGAATATTATTCAAATTATTAACCTTATTTAATATCATCTTATAATATCTAATTATTATATCAACATTATTAGTTATTGATACCATTTTATATAATGAAATCTCTTTTATATGTATGTCTTAATCAGTTTAATTCTCATTTTTTTTAATTAATAATCTATATATCCTATCATATATATTTTTCATAAATTTCTTAAATGAAAATCACAATTATTTATATATCTTTATGAATTATAGGGTGCTTTCATTTAGAAATGATTAGTATAATCTACTTTTATAATAAAACCTTAGTTTCTTGCTTAGCTGAATATTATGGATATTAGGCTTTCAAAGGGACTTGCTATATTAAATAATAATAGTAATTTGTTATTTCATTTTGATCTTAATTGTATATTCTTAATTCTGGAAAATTGGAGATATCTAATAACTCAAAATTACTTATTTTTAAGACTAGGTAATTTAAAGTATAATTTTATAATAAATGTTTTAATCTAACTATCATAATGATATTATGATAAGAATACAAAATTTGTTTTTTATATAATTTATTTAGCATATTTTATTTTTTAAATTGATCCTGAAGTAATCAGAGTTTACGACAAAACGAGATTTTGTATAAAATGAAATAAGATAAATCTTAATTTACATCATGAGAGTTTAGTATTTAAATATTTTTTAATATTTTTATAAAAAAAATAATATCTATTTATGAAATATCAAAATTTACTATTTTATCTAATCCCCCATCTTTAAATTGAATTGAATTATCATTTACGAACAGATTTTATATGATTTTAAGCCTGAAAAGATTTTTTTTTAATTTAATTACTAATTTGCCTTAATATCTAAAATAAAAATATGTATTAGTATTATAATCAATTTGAATAATAAAACATATATTTAATAATTAATAATTCATTCATTTTTTTTCATGTAATAAAATTCTGTATGGTCTAACATCTTCTGATTTATTAACAACAAAATAATTTATAGGCTTCATTCTATCACTTTATCTAATTTTTTTTGGATCTACTCTTGACATAAAGATAACAGCAAATTATTTATTACCAATTTAAGTATATGAACAATACCCAAGACAAACACTAATTCTATCTGAGAAATAAATTCCTTTTCCCACATTTACCTTATTTCCAAATTCATCTATACAATAATTCTCATCATAAGCTTATCTAGAATTAGGCAAACAATTTAATCCTGTTTTAACAATTGCGCTAACAGCTTAATTTTTGGTACCATGATACATAATTCTCCATTCATTAGGATTTCCATCCATTTTTATCCAATCATCATTTCCATCACTTTTTACTTTTAACCCAAATCCATAACAACCAATTGGAAAATAATAATCATATCTATGATAAGGAGGTCCTCTCTATTCTTTCTCATGAAAACCATCCCAACTCATATTATGTGAAGGATTAAAATCATCAGAAGAAAGAGTTACTCCTTTTGCATACTAACTGGCTTATTAATAATAATCTACATATTCAATTTAGCCATTACAATATTCCTTTAAAAATTGATTTTTATTATCTAAAATTTTCTATTTTTGTTCATCTGAATTTTTTCCTGTAATTTAAAAATTAATTTCAAAGCTTCCTTTTGATACTCCTAAAATTTCAATTTAATCAATTGATATATTAAGTGAATTTGATAGTTTTTATTTAAATTCTATTAAATGTTTTTCTAATAATTGATTGTCATTCACAATTGTATCATAATCAAGATTTGTATTTCTAACTTTTAAACAAGATTAATCTGAACCATATGCACCTAGAATTGAATCAAACCCAAATGAATATTATTTACTAGTTTATAATAATTCTCTATTTTAATCTCTTAATAATGATTCTTTTAAAACATAAAGTGCTACTTCAGGATTTGAAGCTTCAATATTCTATTTTACATGAGGTATTTCTTTTACTTCACCTTAATCTTTTAATTTTTTTAATAATTATTGTTAATATTAATGTTTTTAGAATTATTTTTAATTATTTGTAAGATTATTATTATTATCTAATTTATTCATTTCTTAGTGTAATATTTATATTTATTGTTTAATTGGTTATTTACTAATTTGTTATTCTATTGATATTTTGCTTTTTATTGGTTATACTTCTTATATNATAAAAATATGTATTAGTATTATAATCAATTTGAATAATAAAACATATATTTAATAATTAATAATTCATTCATTTTTTTTCATGTAATAAAATTCTGTATGGTCTAACATCTTCTGATTTATTAACAACAAAATAATTTATAGGCTTCATTCTATCACTTTATCTAATTTTTTTTGGATCTACTCTTGACATAAAGATAACAGCAAATTATTTATTACCAATTTAAGTATATGAACAATACCCAAGACAAACACTAATTCTATCTGAGAAATAAATTCCTTTTCCCACATTTACCTTATTTCCAAATTCATCTATACAATAATTCTCATCATAAGCTTATCTAGAATTAGGCAAACAATTTAATCCTGTTTTAACAATTGCGCTAACAGCTTAATTTTTGGTACCATGATACATAATTCTCCATTCATTAGGATTTCCATCCATTTTTATCCAATCATCATTTCCATCACTTTTTACTTTTAACCCAAATCCATAACAACCAATTGGAAAATAATAATCATATCTATGATAAGGAGGTCCTCTCTATTCTTTCTCATGAAAACCATCCCAACTCATATTATGTGAAGGATTAAAATCATCAGAAGAAAGAGTTACTCCTTTTGCATACTAACTGGCTTATTAATAATAATCTACATATTCAATTTAGCCATTACAATATTCCTTTAAAAATTGATTTTTATTATCTAAAATTTTCTATTTTTGTTCATCTGAATTTTTTCCTGTAATTTAAAAATTAATTTCAAAGCTTCCTTTTGATACTCCTAAAATTTCAATTTAATCAATTGATATATTAAGTGAATTTGATAGTTTTTATTTAAATTCTATTAAATGTTTTTCTAATAATTGATTGTCATTCACAATTGTATCATAATCAAGATTTGTATTTCTAACTTTTAAACAAGATTAATCTGAACCATATGCACCTAGAATTGAATCAAACCCAAATGAATATTATTTACTAGTTTATAATAATTCTCTATTTTAATCTCTTAATAATGATTCTTTTAAAACATAAAGTGCTACTTCAGGATTTGAAGCTTCAATATTCTATTTTACATGAGGTATTTCTTTTACTTCACCTTAATCTTTTAATTTTTTTAATAATTATTGTTAATATTAATGTTTTTAGAATTATTTTTAATTATTTGTAAGATTATTATTATTATCTAATTTATTCATTTCTTAGTGTAATATTTATATTTATTGTTTAATTGGTTATTTACTAATTTGTTATTCTATTGATATTTTGCTTTTTATTGGTTATACTTCTTATATAATCATATCATCTTTTCGATATTTAGATATGAAATCTTCATTTTGATAAATATTCCAGAAACCTGGGCTTTCATCTTACAAAAATTCATTTATACCCATTCTTCTGCTTTATTTCTACCTTTATCTTCTACAATATTCAAAAACAAAAATAATAACAATAACACTGACGCACAATAAAGATATTCCTATGATTGACCAGAGATTCATGTTATAAGGAATATTTATTTTCTACTATTATAAAATAATTGAATACTTAGATTATTTTTAAAAAATATGAGTCTTAATAGAATTAGGTTTAATAGAATTATTCTAAGTTAAAAAAAGTTTTTAATGCAAGTTAATCCTACTTTAGCTACAATTATTGTTTTATTTGTTTATAGTATGATTTAGTCAAGGGTTTAAATTCAATAATTTGATTTCTCTTACATAAGATTTATATTTTTATTAAATTAACATCTTAATTGAAAAATTTAATTCTTTAATTCTTTAAGTTTCTGCAAAAGATTTTCATATTTCAATCAGTTTTGTTTCATTTAAATATTGATTAGATATTCAATATTTGATTTACCCAAAAGTATATTCTTAACTATTATATAATTTAATCTCAACACTAATTAAATTCTATATATTCATTTTTATTTTGTTTATTTTTTTTCATAAATTAATTAAAGAACTTAAAATTAATCAAAAATTTGGAGTTTATGTACTAATCTACAATAATAAAAATTTTAAAGTAGAAAAATATGAGGTAATAATGGAATAATATTTGCTAAAATAGTTACTAATTATGTAATAGATAAAGTCGTATTAATTAGTTTAACTTTGGGCTATTTATTTTTAGTTAAGAATTATTAATCAAATATTTTATGATGATTAATTATACATATCTTATCTAAGAACCAATCTTTAGGGGTAATATCATATTTGATGATATATATAATTTTGATATTTTGGAGAGTTAGATTATTTCTCATACTAAAATTATAATTTTTACCATCTACCAACTTTAACAAAAGGATAATCAAATAATTCTTTTGATATTTATTTATTAATACTTAAATATATTAAGTATTGCTCGAATTAATGGTTAAACTAAAATAGAAAAATAAGAATTTGAATTATTATTGATTTATTTCCAAATCAATTGTTAGGCACTCTTTTTTTGTTGAGACCATTTGTAAATATTTAGATTAATTGATTGTAACAGAATTGAGAATAAAGATTCAACAAAATACTATTGAATATATAATGAAGAAACCCGCTATTATTCAATAAGGTTAATTCTAAATGATAAATCTAATTAATTAATTATATTTTTAGTAAAATTATAGGATAATAATTCTCATAAATATAAGCTTATTATCAATAAAAATATTGATTTATCAAAATACATAATTTTTACTTGTTTTTGTAATTAATAAATTGGAATTTGAGAAGAAAATATTTTAGATTAGAAAAAAAATTATGTTTAATAAAAAAATAAATGTGAAAATTAGAAGGATTCTACAAAAAATTAATTCTATTGATACTAATTACATATAAAAGCAAAAAGTAGATTAGATCTAATTTGAAATAGTTAAATTTCGAATGAATATCCTATATGATCAAATCTAAATATAGGTATATATAATTTTATTTAGTTAAGATCTTCTTCTTCTGAGTAATAAAGGTATAACCGAGCTAAAAATGTTATTCAAACAAGAATAACAGAAGAATGATATAAAATTTATAAAAATTTCACTGAGAGTTACATCTTTTTGAGAATTAGAAATACAACCTGATTATGAGACTAGATGTTTGAAATCATTAAGCCTTTCGAAAATTCTTACATTTTAAGGTTTCATTGACGTAGAGAGTATGAAAACATTTATATTTAAAATTCATTAATTTATGTTTTATATTCTATGGTTGATTAAACTTTATTTTGAATTAGTTATCTCTATAAAATTCCCTTTATTTATTTGTATAGCATTTAAAAATGATTCAAAAATAATTTGAATTGATTTTTTAATTTTGATATATACTTCAATTCTTCGAAAAGAATGCCTGGAGTGGTTGATATAAGATTAAATATTTGCAAAAAGGATTACGTAAAAAATTATATAAGAAAGATAAATAATATCTATAAATGCTTATATTGAAACTAGAATAAAGGCTTAATTTTCAATAAAAAATCCTAGAGATTTTGTAAATTACGCCTGATAAGGTTATAGATTAAATATGGTAATAATTTGGTTTTAAATATTAGGCTATTATGAAATCTACTATGGAATAGACTAAGATTAAAATATATTTAAAGTTTAGTTAGGGCTTTTTAGAAGGAAATAATAAAAGAGGAAATTAAAGATTTTAATGGTTAAATCTCCATTTTGAGATAAATAATCATGAAGAAGAAAGAAAAATAAAATTTTAAACCTAAAAATTAGGCTTTTAATTAGGCAACACTAGAAATTATAATATCTACCTTATTTAGTATACCTGGATAGGTACAAATATGTTTGGAAGAAATATTTATAACTTAATTACAATTGGATTTTCAACATGTCGTTTAACATGTTTCTATACTGTTTATCAACTTTAAGCTGATTGAATGAAGTATTTCAGAATAAATTTAACTTTAGTCTAAAATATGTTTACTAATTGATTTATCTTAAAAGGATATATGTGCTTAAATTAAAGAACTTAACCCTAGAGATTAAGTGATCTAATTATAGGAAGGCTTAATGATCAACATTTAGATTGTTTTTTGTATCAAAATTTAACTTAAAAACAAATAGACTTTATTGTCAAATTCATAGCTTTAGATTTACACAAATTAACTATTCTAATGTGTTACTCTATTTAAAAAATATCAAAAATTAATGAGTAACGCCTAAAATATAAATCTCGAAGAAAGTATTTAAGAGAAATCAGAAAAAATATTGTATAATTAAAGATTTATTGTTGTTATCAAAATAATATTAGATCTTAATTAGATATAACTTTACCTTCAATTAAAAAAATTAATGTAATTTATTTAAAAATTCGAATTTTTAAAATTTAATATGACTTCTTAATTTGCAAAAATAAAAGAATAACACATTTAATAAATTATCCAATTAAAATAATTTATATCAGCATAGAAAGACCAAAATAATCCTTTTTTTCACAAATTTATTTAGTTAATATTAATAAAATTCAAATTGAGCAAATTTAACTACTCCATACATCTAAATTATTAAATTTTTGATGAATTTATGTATAATGAAATGCTGCTAATATCTGATAAATTAATAAACTTAATTCTAATAAAAGCCTTCAAAACGATTTCAGTTTCAAAATTAGTCAGAACAAAGATAAAGATTGCTTTCTTAAATAACTTAATCTAATTCCAAATAAAATCTATCCATATTTTATTCATTCAATAAATATGATATATGTCTTCTAATTTTAATTTTATCTAATCTATTTTAATTAATCATCAATAAAATATAAATCAATAATGGGTTCAGAACACCAATCACAATCAATCCAGGAATTATAAAATAATATATCTATAAATAATAATCTTAAGTGTCATACATCATAGAAACATTAANGTTGATTAAACTTTATTTTGAATTAGTTATCTCTATAAAATTCCCTTTATTTATTTGTATAGCATTTAAAAATGATTCAAAAATAATTTGAATTGATTTTTTAATTTTGATATATACTTCAATTCTTCGAAAAGAATGCCTGGAGTGGTTGATATAAGATTAAATATTTGCAAAAAGGATTACGTAAAAAATTATATAAGAAAGATAAATAATATCTATAAATGCTTATATTGAAACTAGAATAAAGGCTTAATTTTCAATAAAAAATCCTAGAGATTTTGTAAATTACGCCTGATAAGGTTATAGATTAAATATGGTAATAATTTGGTTTTAAATATTAGGCTATTATGAAATCTACTATGGAATAGACTAAGATTAAAATATATTTAAAGTTTAGTTAGGGCTTTTTAGAAGGAAATAATAAAAGAGGAAATTAAAGATTTTAATGGTTAAATCTCCATTTTGAGATAAATAATCATGAAGAAGAAAGAAAAATAAAATTTTAAACCTAAAAATTAGGCTTTTAATTAGGCAACACTAGAAATTATAATATCTACCTTATTTAGTATACCTGGATAGGTACAAATATGTTTGGAAGAAATATTTATAACTTAATTACAATTGGATTTTCAACATGTCGTTTAACATGTTTCTATACTGTTTATCAACTTTAAGCTGATTGAATGAAGTATTTCAGAATAAATTTAACTTTAGTCTAAAATATGTTTACTAATTGATTTATCTTAAAAGGATATATGTGCTTAAATTAAAGAACTTAACCCTAGAGATTAAGTGATCTAATTATAGGAAGGCTTAATGATCAACATTTAGATTGTTTTTTGTATCAAAATTTAACTTAAAAACAAATAGACTTTATTGTCAAATTCATAGCTTTAGATTTACACAAATTAACTATTCTAATGTGTTACTCTATTTAAAAAATATCAAAAATTAATGAGTAACGCCTAAAATATAAATCTCGAAGAAAGTATTTAAGAGAAATCAGAAAAAATATTGTATAATTAAAGATTTATTGTTGTTATCAAAATAATATTAGATCTTAATTAGATATAACTTTACCTTCAATTAAAAAAATTAATGTAATTTATTTAAAAATTCGAATTTTTAAAATTTAATATGACTTCTTAATTTGCAAAAATAAAAGAATAACACATTTAATAAATTATCCAATTAAAATAATTTATATCAGCATAGAAAGACCAAAATAATCCTTTTTTTCACAAATTTATTTAGTTAATATTAATAAAATTCAAATTGAGCAAATTTAACTACTCCATACATCTAAATTATTAAATTTTTGATGAATTTATGTATAATGAAATGCTGCTAATATCTGATAAATTAATAAACTTAATTCTAATAAAAGCCTTCAAAACGATTTCAGTTTCAAAATTAGTCAGAACAAAGATAAAGATTGCTTTCTTAAATAACTTAATCTAATTCCAAATAAAATCTATCCATATTTTATTCATTCAATAAATATGATATATGTCTTCTAATTTTAATTTTATCTAATCTATTTTAATTAATCATCAATAAAATATAAATCAATAATGGGTTCAGAACACCAATCACAATCAATCCAGGAATTATAAAATAATATATCTATAAATAATAATCTTAAGTGTCATACATCATAGAAACATTAAAATAGTGTTATTAGACTTTAGATAATATTTAAAAATTTGAATCTTTCTTTACGTATGATTTCATTTGTATAATAAAACAAATTTATAATATTTAAGTTTCATTTCTCTATCTATATTAGAATTCTCTATAGCCTTAAATCTTAAGAGTTATTAACAAAAAAAATAATTAATTGGTTTCATTTCATCGCTTTATCCAATTTTTTTTGGATTCACCCTGGACATAAAATAAACCCTAAATTTCTTATTACCTCTTAAGACCCTGTCAAGGATAGTCTCTTGAGGGAAGATAAGCGTTTAACTCCAATCCAATGTTACTAACCTTATACTAGATTATTTACTTAAATTTTAAGTTTGGTTTTGGTACATAACTCTGTTAGGGCCAGGTTCCCAAATTATGATAGTAGGAGTATCATAATCTGCAAAAAAATATTTTTATTAACAATTATGTTATAATATATTTAATATCCAAATATTTCCATGAACAAATCAATATTATATTTACTTCTGACCAATTCATTCGCTTAGCCTTTTTTGGATTCCAATTACCTAAAATATCTGAATCACCTGTTAAATAAAGAGCTTTTCCATATTTAGTATTAAAACGTATTTGAAATTTTATGTATTTCATCATAAACAATAATAATGATTGTTTGTAGAAGTGTAAAAATTTTATATACTATTGATAGAATTAAAACAATAAATTAAATCAATTCAAATAATTATGGTTAATATAATAGATAACACTTAATTAAATTTCAAAAAACTCTATAATTTTCAATTTTCCTGATCCGAAAGGTCTATTTAGACTATTAACTAATTTCATTTTTTAAATATGGATACAAGATATATTAGTTGTTAGCTTAGATTAAATAATTAAAGAAAAATTTTAATAAAAAACTAATAGGAATTAATAAAATTTATCAAATTATAATAAGAAAATTTGATTATTATAAGATTTACTTTAATTAAAATCATGATTTATATGATTTATTTATAAATAATTATGATGATCATCTATTGAATTCTATTAATGCAAATTAATAAAAAAGGCAAAAAATTAGGCTCGATATTATTCTTATTATTTATAGTGCATTTTCTACTTGCCAAATTAAACTAATTAAATTTAGGATTAATAAAATATATGATCTAGCTAGAAATATATTTAATTTCATTGAATGAGGATACCAACCTTCTTTTTTTGAATAACTATAATATGACCATGATAAAAAAATATATTCAAGCAATCTAATTTTAATAATAAAAAAGTATTACATTAAACTTTGTATGATCTAACATAGAATTGCATTTTCTTAGAAAAGAATTGCTATAGAACACCAAACTCCAAATATAAAGTTGATTAAAAACAATACAAACAATTTGTTTCTTAGTCTAATTTCAAGAATTGGATATTTGTAGTAAGCTCTTAGTATAATTCTTACATTTTAAGGTTCATCTCTTACTTCAGGTAATTATTAAATGTTTTCATTCTAAGGTTCTTAATTTACGTTTTATTATTCATTAATGGAGGATTAGCCAGTTTGTTAAGGTTCTTGATGAAAATTCTGCATATTTTAATTCATATATATATTGTAATTAAATATAACTGATATTAAATAAAATTAATATGCTTCAAAAATCAACTAATCATTCTATAGAATATTATAGAAAAGAATCTTTTTAGTGTTCTAAATCAAATAAAACTAAAAAACTTATATGTAATTCTTGATCTTTAAAGAATGGATAAAAAATGACAAAAATTTAAATTTAAATTTTACCTATTCATTTTGAATTAGTAACACCTATAAATCACATAAATTTAATGGAATAGAATTTAATAATGATTCAAAAATAATAATAGTAACAACATTTTAAAATCTCCATTATCATGTTTTTTTGAATCCAAATGTAACTAAAGAATTGAGTTCTTTTTCAAATCGAACTAAAATTGCAATAGATATTTGGCTATTGAATATGTTCAAGAAAAGAACCTTCTTTTAACAAATTTGTACATTTTTTCAATTTTAATAGAATAAACAAATATTAAGATTTGGTTGTTGAATAAGTAATTAATATTAACATAGACTTGATGTAATTATATTAATTTTGAAGACTTAAAATATGAGATTATATAAGTCTTGACAATTATATTATAGATACAATAAGTATTAAGAGACTCTAGACAATAATATATCTATTTATTGAAAAAACTTTAATTATTTATTTTATGATAATTACTTTATAATATTAAGTATAATTTTGTGTAAATTAAAAATTTTTATTTAATATTATACTCATATTTTTAAGATAATTTATAAATAGAATGCCTAAATTTAGAACTTTACCAGTTGAAAAGAACTACAAAACTTTTGTGGAAGAGAATTCAATAAGATTTGAAAAATATTGTTACGCTATTTCAATTAATAAAGATAATTCAATAATATTTGTAGCTAGTGACTCTTCTATCACTTTGTTTCAATTTAAATTTACTTAATTGAAATATTTACAAAATTGTAGAAATCATAAAGATTATGTCACTACTTTAAATAATTTTAAGAACAATTCATAATTCATTTCAGGTTCAATGGATTCCAATATTGTATTGTGGTCTTTGAATCTCATGGCAAACAGAAAATATTTATAAATATTATAAGGACATACTGAAATGATTACCTGTTCAGTTGTGTTACCAAAATTTGAGAATTTTATAATATCTGGCTCTAAGGATAATAAAATTAAATTTTGGAGTATATCATAATAAAAGTAATAATGGAGATGTGTATAAACAATAACAGATCATTAAGATTCAATTTTAGCTTTAGCAACAAATATTGAAGGAAGTAAAGTAATATCAAGTGGATAAGATAATATTATATTAGTAATTGAGCAAAATAAAGAATTTTATTGGGAAATTAGATAAAAGATACAAGTAGATTAATATGGCTATCGTCTTAATTTTATTGATGAATTCACAATTACATTCCAACCTGAAAAAAGTCCACATATGCATATGTACAAAATGAATCAAATGGGAGATTTTTAATTAACAAANATACAAGATATATTAGTTGTTAGCTTAGATTAAATAATTAAAGAAAAATTTTAATAAAAAACTAATAGGAATTAATAAAATTTATCAAATTATAATAAGAAAATTTGATTATTATAAGATTTACTTTAATTAAAATCATGATTTATATGATTTATTTATAAATAATTATGATGATCATCTATTGAATTCTATTAATGCAAATTAATAAAAAAGGCAAAAAATTAGGCTCGATATTATTCTTATTATTTATAGTGCATTTTCTACTTGCC